TGCCTGCCTGCCTGCCTGCCTGCCTGCCTGCCTGGCTACCGGCCTGCCTGCCTGCCGGCCTGCCTGCCCGCCGGCCTGCCTGCCTGTCTCTGTCTCTCTGCCTCTCTGCCTCTCTGTCTCTCTGTCTCTCTGTCTCTCTGTCTCTCTGTCTGCCTGCCTGCCTGTCTGTCTGTCTGCCTGCCTGCCTGCCTGCCTGCCTGCCTGCCTGCCTGCCTGCCTGCCTGCCTGCCTGCCTGCCTGCCTGCCTGCCTGCCTGCCTGCCTGCCTGCCTGCCTGCCTGCCTGCCTGCCTGTCTGTCTGTCTGTCTGTCTGTCTGTCTGTCTGTCTGTCTGTCTGTCTGTCTGTCTGTCTGTCTGTCTGTCTGTCTGTCTGTCTGTCTGTCTGTCTGTCTGTCTGTGTGTTTTTGTTGGTGGTATTTGCTCAGAGGAAGGCCACTTGAAAGCAAGCTGGTTCGAGGTGTTTGGATTGCTGATCCTGTGTGATTTCTTCAATTGAGGAGGGTGAATGCTAGCCACTGAAGTTTGCAGCTTGCTCGCTCAACATGGAGGGCATCGCATTAGAGTTGCTTTAGCTAAGCAAGCTGCTTCGCCAGGCAAGGGTATGAACAACTGCGGCTGTGGTGGAATGGGAGGCATGGGCGGCGGGATGGGCGGCGGCATGGGCGGTCCCCCCGGCGGTATGGGCGGACCTCCAGGCGGCATGGGGCTCGGCAGCAGCATGGGGGGCGGCATGGGCGGAGGCCTGGGGGCCCCTGGCATGGGCGGAATGGGCGGGGGCATGGGCTGCAGCACGGGGATGGGCGGTTGTGGAGGCATGGGCTGTGGCGGCATGGGCGGCGGCATGGGCGGAGGTCCCGGCATGGGTGGAGGTCCCGGCATGGGCGGTATGGGGGGCGCTCCCGGAATGGGAGGTCTTGGCGGATGCGGTGCTCCCGGCATGGGCTGCCAAGGCGGTCCCGCCTGCGGTGGCTGCGGCATGGGCTGCGGCGGAAACTGCTGGGGCAAGGGCGGTGGGAAGCAGTGGGGACAGGGCTGGTGAGCCGCATGAGTTTTGGGCGCATGTATACTATCTTCGGCGCAGGACGGCATGCGCATGGCTTACCAAGTTTCGCTTTGTCCGCCAACTCTTTAAGAAAGAGATGGGTGCTGACACTGGGAGATCAATTTCCCCGCAGTGCTCTCAGGCACTGCAGGAGATTGCAGCAAACAAGCTCAACGCCTTTAGGGAGCGTTTCAGGATCGATGAAATGTAGTTTCTGTAGTTTGCAATTAAGCTTGCACCATGCATTGCATGCATGGCCTGGTCCCGCGCACCACCGTCGGAAGCTCAACACGTGATATGCTCTCCAAAAGTAATACCGAAACGGCCTTTCTGTCGTGTTTTGTGTTTGAATTCTTCGAAAAAGGAAGCCCTTAGAAATACGCCAGTTGGATGAAGGTGGAACAAACATGATTCCGGTTTTCGTGGTTTAGCCCCAAAATTGTGGTTGTCCTTCTGGTGTCCCTTTAAAGCCACTAAGTAAGGCCCTCAAAACAACAAAATAAGGCACAACTATCTTCATCCACTTTGGATAATGTTACTGTCACCTATATGGATTTTTTGAGAGTTTGTTATAGAATGCTAATGCTTATCGTTGGTTATTTTGTTTTTTGCAGGATGTATGTTGTATTCGAAATTCTTTTATATAAATATTATAGATTTTATTTATTATTTATATTTTAAATATTTTTTTTGGATAATATATTTGTTTTGTTAGATTGGAATGATTTTGTATTATTTGATATATTATAAATATATTTTGAAATTAGAAATATTAATTTATAATATATGATATATTTCTTGGTAAATAATATTATTTTGCAAAAATAAATTAGTTTTATTATATTGATTTAATTGAATATATAATGTTTGTTATAGATTTTGATATTGTTGGATTGAGATTTAAAATTGTATTTTGGTGATAGGATGGTAAGGATTGAGTAGTTTTGTAAATGTTTTTTTTAGAGTAGTATTTATTTAATTTATTTTTATTTTTTTTATTATTTGATTTTCGGTTAGATGAGGTTATTAGAATGATTTTAGGAAATTAGAGCTTTTGTGTATTGTTATTGCTCGGTAATTTATTGGTAGGTTTTTCTTATGGAAATTTATATATTAGATATATGGTAGGTTTATAGCTTTATGAAATATTATGGTTGGATATAAGCAATTATTTATAGATAAATTGGAAAGCGAGTCCGATGATGAATTTGCGATTAGTAGGTATGATATTTATGAGTTTTTGAGAATAATAAAAATATTAGTATTTCGAATTAAAATTTATATTTGTATTATATTCTTAGAATAGGAAATTACTAATATAAGATATTATTTTGAATTGGTTTTTTATATGGATATATAATTATAGATTTCCTTCGTATATAGGTATTAGTGGCTATAATGTTGGAGAATTTTAAATTTTATTGATTCGGTTGAAAATTGGTAAAATTGTATTGCTAGCTTTTATGATTGCATTAGTTTGGAAGACATGTATTCTAGAGGTGTTTTATACAATCTATTGATATTATTTACTGGCCGGGTGCTTACTTATCTGATGATTGTTGGACATATTGTTGGCTGGCATTTCTGCCCAAACCTGGCAAGAACACTCGTCTTCCTTGAGATTTGTGTCTAATCGGCTTATAAAAATACTATTATATGGATCTTGAAAATATGTTTATAGCCATATATAAAATTTAAATTGGAATATTATATACAATTTATGTATTGCCTAGGTCGTAGCACAGCTTCAGCTATCGGACGGGTCGTGGCGAATAATAAATTTGTATGTCAGCGCTTTTGATATGGAACTCGAATAATGCACGACCGACGGGCTTGTTGGGATAACTTGCCCATCTTTAATTTAGTGTTGACTTGAATGCTATACTTGATATAATTCCATAATAGGCGATATTTGTTGCTCTGCGCTTTTTTGGGGTGCTAGAAGACCATCTGGCACTTAGGCATTTGATATTCCTATGTGTCGGGGAGTCCGTTAGGGCTGCACAATGCAAAGCCTTTGATTGATATTCGTCTATTTGTGCCCCGACTGGGCATATATATTAACGAGCACTGAAAGGCCTAGCACGCCGCAATTTTCGCTAACGACTTGCACGATTCTTAGCTTGTTAATACATTGGATGATCGATTGCTTGTTATTGTTATTAAATGTGTGTAACCATTATTTAATATATTAATAGGATATAAACGAGTATAAAAATATATATTTTGGTTTTTGTGATATATAGGTATTATATAAATATATAATTGTATTAATATTATATTTTAAATATAAAAAATAATATATTAAATTTAAAATAATAATTTTTAATTATATTATTAGACCATGAATTTATGTAAATTATATTTATTTAATTTTTTTTTTTTGTAAATACTATTTATAATTTATTATATTATTTATAATAATGTTTTTGTAATATTAGTTTATTTATTTTATATAATTTTGGATAAATCTATATATAATATAGTATATATATAGGCTTTTTAACCGAATTTTAGACCAATTAAAAAATTTAATAAATTTAAATAATTTAGAGTAAGCTTAAAATTCCAATTTCGAATATATATAGATATTTCATAAATCAAATTAATTTAAATATAATATATATATTATAAAATTTAAACATATTAAAATAATTAAAAATAATATAAATATATTTTAATATTTCTAAAAATAAATATATTATATTTTAAACATAAATTTATAATCTAATTAAATTCATATAACAATAAACCATAATTAAAAAATTAAACCATATAATAAATTCATTAACAAAATTATAAAAAATATTATTTTTTACATAAATCTATCAAAAATCAAATCAACGAAAATGCTCTACTACATTTCTAATTAAATATAAAAACAATAATATCTATCTAAATCATAATTATGGTTTTATTATATAATAAAATAAAATTAATATTCTCTATTTCATACAATAAAAAGGGGAAAAACAAATAATACTCATATAATTATTTAATTTTATATTTCTCCATATTTTTTTTTTATATTTAATTTCTTCAATATTTCCTACCTTTTTATACTCAAAACATTTCCTACCTCGCACCCAATAAAATATTATATCCCAACTTAAACGCATTTCCGCCCACAAAAAAATCTACTTATATGTAAATAAAAACGGTCGCTCATCTAACGACAAACACTATAACAACAAGTGAACTAACAAATAAACAAACAACTAATAATATAAACACAAAATATAATTATTTAATGAATTATTATTATACATATATATGGTGTTTCATCAATATGTGTTTCTTTATTTTATTTTCATTATAATTAAATTAACAAAATATATATTCCCAAAATATTGTAACAAATAAATAATTTCTAAGCGCTAATGAGGCGATACTTTGGACCCTCATGGGGTGCTACGAGCCTCATTCTCCCCTTGCTCACCTGGCGCGACTGGATTTGACTGAGCCTGATGCCAAAAAGCTGAAAGTTGAGTGTGGAGCTGGCAAGGTCACTTGGTGGCGCAGGCCTTTTTGACCCAAAAAATGCCATGCCTTATTTGTTGCACGTTGCGTGATTTCTGGACTGCGGAACACAAACGTACCTTGGCCCTTCAGATCTTCTAGTCCCCATGGGCTTGTGAATGTGTGGGATAACACGTGACCAGTTTGGGGTGCCATTGGTTGTGCTTCCGCTGCGGGGCGATAGCAAGACACCAGCAGAATGAAACAATATAAATCTGACTTGCTAACCAACCATTTTGGGGTGGACTTGGAGGGGAACAAAAGGTAAAAGCATCTTAGAGTTCTGCAGGTTTAAAACACCCACATGACAGTGCTGGTTCGCTTCGAATCAAGTGATTCTATGTTGGTCCTCTATGCCGAGCCTCCGGAAGCTTCTCCCTTCGGCTGACTAGGGCCTGAGCCGGGCCACACGCAGTTGCAACACATGGGCTGGCTCATCTTTTTGAGGAAGACACACCCAAATGGATGGCATCTTGCTCTCTTCGAAATCCAATCTTTTAGGTGATTGGCATGGAGCCCTGCGAGCAAAGGCCACAGCGTGGACTTGCGTGCGTTGCAGTGTCTTCATACTATGAAAACTGGTGGGCAAACATGAAATTACACCGGACGAAGCAAAGCGTCGCGCAACGAGGCGTCATGCCGTTTCTCATCCGGCCGTTTCTTGGGCAGACTCCCTGCCCGAAAGGAGCACCCTACTTCAGGCAAAGCAAGAATGATGCAGCGGCGCCAGCCATGCAAAATACGGCAGAATAATGGTGATGCAAGGCAGGGCCATGATCACAGCCTCAAAGCAGTGTAGGTAGTGAAATGAGTTGTTCGCATAATAGTGTTTGCTTCGTCATTCATTGATGCACCCTATCGGGAGGTCCCCCCCGCCCCCCCCCCCCCCACAGGACTCAAATACAACCTCCCTCCTGCAACCCCATCACACACGTCCTGACATGCGTGTGTAGGCGCATGGGCAGTCAGAGGGCCACGCAGCTGAAGCCGCGCCCCTTGGTTACTTGCGCCATGCAGATAATTGCAACCCATTTCATCATGTAAGATGCTGCTGATGCGTGCAGCAATGCAAGCAGCACCAGGATACACAGTCAGAAAAAGGCCCGTTTTGCTTGGTCACCCCTCTTCAAACATTGCAATCAACTGGTGGCCAATGAGAGCGATCGCCATGTTTTGGAGGATCAGCCTGGTTGTTCTGGGCATCCCCGCAGTGCACCCAGGGCTGCACATTTGCATCAATTGCAAACCAGCCCTGACCTGGCGAGTTGCCTGCAACTGGAGTTGGGCATGTTCTCAAGAACTGGTACAAACACATGTCCCTTGCGGCATCCGGAAGCACCAAAACAGGGGTATGAATCGGTATGAATGAGGTACCCTTTGGCGGACATCAAGGCGGGGATTCACGTCCACCAAATGTTGAACTGGTTCCCCATGAAACAGCATGTCAATCATGCTACCACGTTAACATGGATCAAACACCTGAATCAAAACACCGTGAGAGGATAGTTCACCCTCAGGTTGTCACAACCAGGAGCTCTCAAATTAAATTCCTTTTCGGCCCTGGTGCCTCTCTCTCGCTTTTCTGCAGAACTCCGATTTCAGCTTCCTTCCAGTTGGTGGTTCAAAAACCATCGGTGCAAATTCCCAACCACCAATCCACACCACCAATTGGGGGTTACCTGACCACCCCGACATCCCCAAACCCCGAGGGGTGCCTTGCCTGGCTCCGTGCCTAAGCAGCGGCCCCGGGCGAAGCTCTTGCCTGCCAGATTTTGCTCACAGGCGTGTGGGATGCTTTTGCTTACGCTGACGCAGAGGTCGAACAAAAACGGAAGTCGGGGGGCCTTCCTTGCGAGTGTCTTCCTTTCGACGCCTGCTTGAAGATCCTTCAGAACCATTCAAAATGACTGCCCACATGGTCCAAAATGAAGCGAGTTGCAAGGCAACTTGTGCAAACATTCCGCCCCATAGGCATAGTCATACTCCTGCCCACAGCAGGAAACTGGGGATACAGTTCCTGTTGTGCTTGAGCAACAGCGCGAGTCCGAACATGTTGAAAGTTGAAACGCACTCAGCGCAGCACAATTGTTATGTTTGCTCGCCGTGCTGACCCGCTTTTCTATCAAAAGCTACAGGCATATATAAGTCTGGGTTCCCAAAATGCCTGTGTCCAAAGCCCAATGCAACTAAACAATAATGGCCGCCCACCTGAACTTTGCATGGCCTCTAGCGCGGCTCTTTTCCAGACCACGCTGTTTCAAAACTCAAATCATTCAAAGGTCACTGCGCAGGGGCGGAAAGTGGGCATCTTGCAAATCACCTACACGGTCACAATCTCAATCAAGCAGAAAGGAAGGCCATTCGTGTCACGCAAGGATGCGCGTGTACGCACTTCTCTGGCCTGACATGCACAGGGGGGTTCACCTCTTACGACTCAAAGCTTGTGCATTGCAACGCTGGTTTGCGCGCAAACGCGCATTACGCGCATTAAGGAAAAGGACAAGTAGAGGAAATTAAGGAAAAGTAGAGGAAAAAGAGATCTGTTTCGAACTTGGTCGTCCAAAAGAGATCGTCTTTTCCGCCTGTGTTTTTCCCGCGTGTGTTCCCCACGCCTTGTCTCTTCTCCACAGAGGGATCCTGCAAAAGCTCGAAGCCTGGCCACGGTGGGAGCGAGCCATCGAGCCATCGCAAACCTCCAAATGCCCGGAGGTCCAACGCGCGTCCCTTAGAAAAACAAAGCGAGAGGACCAACGCGAGAGTTGATGCGGAGTTTTTTTTCCACTCAAAGTGAGCAGCTGAGGGGCAGATCAAACCTTACAGCCTTAAGGCTGCTTTTACTCTCTTCAATGTTTTTCTGGGCTGTTCAAAGTGCAGCTTTTGCCAAGCCAATGATCCCATCTGCCAAGGGCTCGGCTTTAACCCCATCCGCCTGGCCTTCGCCCACCTCCAGTTTTCGCAGGGCCTGGCGACACGCCCTGTGACGCACCACTGCCTACGCGCCCGGGCCCCAACCACTGCTTTTTGCCTACCCTACTTGGGCTGCTGGACAGAACCAGTTGTGGGGGGGGGGGGGCTAGTGGAATCCAAATGGAGCCAGGGGAAGGCAGGTTTTAGCCTTTTCCATTTGACGGGATTGCATTTCGTGCTGGTTCTGAACCCAAAGCAAGACACACCTAGAATCCTCCCCCCCGTTGCTCTTCCTTTTGTCAACCCTGAGCGATGTGAGGCACTGGAAGACTGCGTCGTTCATGAGTCTTGCTTCGGACTGCCTGCTAGAGACAAAGCAACCAGACTCCCAGAACACAGTTAGACCTGCACGAAGTTGACTTTTGCTGGTTTACAGGGAAAAATGAAGAAATACCAACAAGGCAAAGGAAGCAAACAGTTGAGGCAGCCTAGCAATGGTTCTGAGCATGGGCCTTAGCTTGCCAATCTCAAAATTATGTGGCTCATAGGTGGCACTCGATTCGGAAGGCTTCACTCCAGCCCTGGAAGACGGGAGCCTCTTTGAGGGTTGACCATGGGAGCCACCACACACGTTGGCCCATCTCCAATGCACTTGCTCTGAGGTGCCTTGGAGGTCAGCGCATGCGGGTCTTGCGGGTTTGACACTGCGGGTCTTGCGGGTTTGACACAAGGATGCATTGCCAGGAAGTCGGAACATTCGCTTACTCGCCAAGCACTTATGCATGCAGGGGCGAGTCACTGGCCCTGCCTTGCCCGGAGAAGATTCTAGGTCAACCTCAGCCAAAGAAAACTCAGCTCTGAAGGTTGCACACTTTTGCCTGGAATCACCTGAGGTAGGAGGGCGGCTTCTTCTACTGGAACTGGGGGTGCCACCCAGCTAATGGTGTCACTTTGTGAGAACATGGACTTTTGTGCCTTTACCCTCAACAAGACCCAGGGGCTACCAACCCAAACCACCAAATAAGGGACACCTGAACAAAGGGGTCGCCTTTTTCAAAACAAGTGCTGACGAGTTCATCTCACTTTAGGGTCCCGGCGCTGACCACACAGGTGAAGTGCCTGTCAGTTTCTGTGACGTACATGGTTCCTGGCGGCCGGATCACGCGAATGCCGCCGCACGAATGCCAATGCACAGCTGGCTCAATGGCCCAAGAGGATATTTGTTCACAAAGGTGGCTTTGGGTATGCCTTGCTTAGGGGACCCTCAAAATGGGGCCAAAAAGAGTGGGTGTCCTTTTACTTTCCATTTAAAACAAAACATTGGGGTACCCACAAACAAAAACACAACCTAGTGGTTTTGTTTCTCTCAGGTGTGATCCGCGCCACTTCTTGGATCTTGAAATATTTTCGCCGATGAAGCAACATTTGATTGATGCAACCGGTCGCAGCGACCTCTTCATTTAGCGAATCATCAGCGCCTTTGTCCTGGAAGGGATGTCACTTGTTTCGCGTTTTTGCCGACACGCGTAACCTAGCTGGAGCCTTTGGAACCTCTTCGAGGTACTTTGCTAGTGAACGCCATGCTGGTGGGAGGGTTCGTCTAGAATGTCTAGACGATTGGGACGATTGCCTAGCCCCTCGTGTCTTGTGTCTGGAAGGACTTCAACAGCAGGCCCGCCTTGGTTCCCTTGCGAGGTGGCCCAGCCTTCCTTGCCTCGAGAAAAACATGGGCTGGTTGGGGTTTTGCAGGCAACAAACTCAAAGGCAACCCTCACATGGGAGGCCCAGAATGGGTCCGTTCATTTGGGTTTTTGTTACCATGTCTCGGTCCAGATATATGATTGTGCAGGTTCACTGGAACAGGGCTCTATGACTTGACTTGGAGATCTTACGCCAACCACAACCCAAGGGTCATGACCAATTGCAAGTTGTTTGCCCCGGACTCGCCAGGTGCAATCCAGTTGGAGCCCTTGGACAAGGCAAACCGCACCACCAGCAATGCGAAGAGGGAACATGTGGTGCGTCCTTTCGCCGCACAAACTTGCCCGTTCAAAACGCCGGGCTGGCAATCCCCGAGCAAATCCCTGCGAAAGGGACCCCACCCTTTTGTAGGCCTGACAAATGCCTGGCCAGGAACTCGGATTGGGACAAACCTTGCACATGTCTGTGGAATTGAGGGGCCTCAAGCAGCCAACAATCCAGCATCACAGGCTTGGAAAGCTCATGTGGTTTCTCCAAGGGAAGAAACAGGTTCGCTGGTTGCTGATCAGTTGGGGCTTTGCTGTTGTCCCCGAAGCAGTTAACAGGCAAACCTCTGTTGTGTGGCCAAGAGCAACTCAGCAGCAATACAGGTTGGACTAACACAGGGCTGTGTCATTGTTTTGGGGCACCCCCTCTTTGGTTGGCTTAGGAAAACCCACGAGGCAACCAACCTGCTTGAGGGGCCCAACCTTAAAGAGCTGCCCACGTGTCAATCAGGCTACGAAGCACATGCAATGATCCCGTGGGGCTGCAAAGTTGGGGCCCTGGCCATCTGACAAAGCTTTGACCTGCACGAGTGGCAAATGATGCTTGGATCGGTTTGGGGACTAATACTCTTTTTTTTGTTGTTAGAACAATTGAAAGCAAAACACGGGCGATTGATTTCAGGTAACCCTTAACTTGTGGGTTGGTGGTTTCGGATTTGAACCCATGCCAGAAAGCCAATCCCAACCACCAAGAGTGAAGCTGAGTTGTAAGAAGAAGCGCTGGGAGCTCTCTGGCTTGATGGACATCCCGGAAACACGTGCAGCTCCCGCTCGTGCAGCATCCCAACTCCCAATTTGCACTTGGAAACCTAGCGATACATAGGTCTGGACTTCCGTAACGCAAACTTCCTCCGCATGTCTGCCCCTTGTTCTAACGCACTTCAAATGGAACTCCCGAGGTTCACCGGAAGCCAATGCCATCTGGTAGGACGATCTCTCTCGAAGCGACCGTTCAAATTCATGGAGAACTGTCAAAGTCACCCTAAGTGATAAAGGCGGAAACACCCCCAGTTACTGGCCTTGATAACACCAACAGTCAAAATAGTGACCCCGGGAGAATCAGCCAAAATTGGTCGGGGATTGTTCAAAGGGAAAGCAGTCAAAGACTGTCAGCCTCCAGCGGCAACCATTCACCCTCTGTGGTGGAGCGATCACGCAAGGATTCTTCAGGTCTGCTTCAGAAATGTTCGAGTGGGTCATGTCATGGGTCCTTGGCAGGGTCGTGGCCCTCTCAGAATGCTTCGCTGTCACTCAGGGAGGCTGGCCACTCCTAGCGCTTTGACAGACGCACGGGCTACGGCCTTCATGCGGGTCATGTTTCGGCTCTCGTCTTGCTGGGGCTCCTGGAGGCTTGCCGGGTGCTTTGCCCTGGATCTCTCGGCCTCCCTCAACATGAAACCCAAAAAGTTGACATTTAAAGGAGTCTTTCTTGGGGGACCCACACAATTTGTGGCTTTCCTCTTGGTTTCCAACTAGAACCACGAAAAAGGGGCTCCCTCGAAACAGACACGCTCCTTTTTGGCTTGAACCTTCTGGGTAGGTTCCATGGCGTGGCATTCATTTGATTCATGCCCGGGGCCCTGTCTTGCTTGCATAGCCTTGCCAGTACCACGGGCACATACAAGCCCATCACACAGTGTGATTCATGACGTCCCAAAAGAACGTTCGGATCCAGCCACGTGTGGTGCCGTGCCTCAATCGCAATGCGCGAAGTGAGCCGCAATTAGCACCCTTCGCGATGGACCTCTTTACCCAATGAGCCTGACTAGCAAGCTGAAGCCAGCCTGTTCAGAGTGAAGGAGCCACACGTCACCAAGGATTTGCCTTTTCCACGTTCCTCTGCCATTTGAACGGGATGCCCCCCACTCCGCACCTGGAAGCCACACGATGCTCTTCACCCCTGGCCGTCCTCCAAGGCTGTGAGGGTCTCCCCCACCTCCAACTTCCGGATGGCTTTGCAGGCGCCTCTCCATGCGGTGCAGTAGGAAAAACCGTTGAGGGGAAAAAGCCCCGGACGTTGAGTAATAGTAGGGCTTTAGGAAATACATTGAGAGGTAAGCAAAGTCTGGCATGGACTTTTGCCGTGCACTAAAACGTGCACCCGTGCCCCCGGGGGCCATCGTTTCGGTGTCTTTTTGGAGGATACTGTTTGCGAACTGACTTTTTTTTAACATTACCATCTGGACAACGGACACATCTGGCACCCGGAATCCGGGCCGCCTATGTCAAAGTTGTCGGTGAGCGCTACGCTCCTCAGGTAGCATCGGTAGCATCGATCTCGCCATTTCAACCCGGGTGTCAATGGTGTGGATCAAGCAGGTCCCCATCAAAACTTGGCCATGGAGAGGTCTGCTCATCCACAAAAGAACACACAGGGAGGCCACACCGGTTTTTGGCTGGGATTGTCCCTTCCGAGTCTTCAGTTCCCTGGTTTTTCATTGGTCTTGTCGTGTACGGAGCCTGCCCATCCTGGCGCATTGCATTGAGTGCAGGGCCCTTTGCAGAGCAGCAGCTCTTGCAACTCAAAGAAGCATCGGCCGGAGTCATCTTTGAACCTCGCCAAAGCCACCACTTGGTTTTGGTTGACGTTGGAAGGGGAGCAAAAATCTAAGTTTTAGCAGTTAAGTGGGGATTTCCCACTAAACCACACTAAGCAAACATGTAAATGTTTCCCAACCACAACCATGACCAGCTCACGAATTCCCACACTGGCTGCAACCTCCTCTACCACTCGCTTGAGCACAAGGCCCAGAACCAACCTCATCCCTGAAGTCCGATTGCTAAAACGGTGCCTTTTCTTGATGGTGGTTTTTCAAAGTGAAACCGAAGTGCCACGAGGCAACCCGATTTTTTGGATTCAAAGTGAAGCCACAGAGACACCAAGCATTTGAAGATTTATGAGACACCAAACGCGACTTGGTGCCCGGCAGAACCCAACCAACTTTGCCATCCTGCCAGGCGCTCGCGCAGCAAACTAACTTGTGACCTCGTTGCGCAACACGACACAGCTGCGCGGAAAGCACTCTCCGAGAACGGACAAATAAGTTCAAATAGCTCGTGGGTATGGTCCGTAAGGTTTTACTCTGGAGCAAGGCTTGTAAACGGGCTGTGCAAATTGGCATTCACAATAATTCCTTCCCCTAGTACCTGTGTTCACTCAATCTCCTCAATGCCAAGCCCAGAATTAAGCCACTACTCAGCCAACAAATTCCCTGCCGACTCCAGCTGCAGTCTTATTTGGTGGCTCTCCATTCTGCTGGGTTTGAGTTGTGAATTCACATTCAAAACTGCGCATGGCGAGAGCAAATCATATTTCAATCGCGCCTTCAAATGCCTTGAGAGATGCCTTTGCAAAGTTGCTTGCCTAGCAACTCGTGAACTTGGCAGTGTGCCGGGCAAACAAGTGTTTGGACGAGAACACAAGCGGAATCGCTGGGCTGAATGGCAGGGGGCCAAGCGCGCACGGAGCTTCCGGTTCGCACGATATTCGGGCCAAACTCGCACGAACATTCCAGTCAAACGCGCGCAGGGTCCGGTCGAATGCGCGGGGTGGCAGCATCAGTTCTGAATGTCTTGGGGAGAGTGGAGGGGGGGAGGGGGGATGAGCACCTGACGACAAAGCGCATGCGCAAGGCAAGGCAATTTGGCGCTGAACGCTCTCACGCAGTACGCACGCACAAAGCTGTGGCGGTTGGTGAATGCCGACAGTACATTCGATGCTCAGCTCCGACCATTTTCCAAGTGAAACGCGACCGATCCCAGGCGACAAGTGTCTGCCCGTCCTTGGTCGCCTTGCCTCTTGCTCTAGTAACCTGTCAGAAAAGGAGCTGAAATCGATGCATCAACTGACAAAGGGCCCTGTGACCCGTGCAAGCAAAAAATCAGGCCTCGGCTGTCTTCTCCAGCCGTGGTCCTTCGAGCACCTGCTCACTCGCAGCCAGAACATGAAAGAGTTCGAGGGCAACCTTGGGGGACGCACAGAGCTTGCTGCTCCTTCCATACCTTTAAGTCCCTCGTGTGTGTCTATAGATCCCCCAGGAGCAACTTGCCGTCGCGCAGTGACGTAGTGCCCCGCCTCGAGTAGCTCATCCGGGCCTTGCGACAAAGTGTTCAACATCCTACCAATGCCCCTCCACTTAGTCCCCTAGGCGCACTAGTCGCCTAGACGGCGACTCGGCTCAAACGCGTCTCCGCACTTTGACTTTGGCACATGTGGCACAAGTGTCCCGTGAAAGTGCGGCGGTGTCACCAGCACATGCGAACCTTTAGCACTGCTGACTGAGAAAGCGAAGGATTCCACTAAAAGGAAACGTGCCCTATTGGTCAATCACCTTGTTGATTAACAGGTAATTACATAGAAACCTCCTCAATGCTCCCCAAACACCAGCCAGCTATATTTGGGGCAACCGGAGATTTCTGCCACGTCTACCAACGTCTGGCCCATGCTGTGCAATCCCCTTATTGATCAACCAGGGCTTGTCAAAATCCCGCGGTTCAAAATCCACAAACCGCACCACTTGGAATGGATGAAGCGCTGGAAATACTGGTTGGTAAACCGCCCACAGGACTTTGCCAAGCCACAGTATGGCAGCCAAGAACCGCCAAAACTGAATGATAATAATCATAATCATAGCAACAAGGATGTAGAAAGAACAATAGCCATGGCACTAGTCATAATAATACACCTATATATGTGTAGTGTACATGAGTACTACCAATGATCCACACGCATAAACTAATCAAACAAATAAACATATTTACAAACAAATGAATCAAGATAAATAAACAAATACAGAAATGAACAAACAAACCATAAATGCATAAACAAACAAACAACATCACAACAACTGCACAAATCGTCTGTAAGGGCATATTTCACAAAGGCATGGGCCGTGGCTCCATCTGAGGCCGCGGCTGACCTTGCCAATCTGCTTGCTCGAGGAGGCCTCCAGTGGGATGTGCTGTCCCGTTTTAAGAGCCGTGGATGCCCTAGATTTCAAGGGGAACAAGGGGATTCCTGTGCTTGACCGCTAGTTACTGTCTTTTTGCAGGTGGATGTCAAACTTCTAAACCCAGTGGCTGGGTTTAGCTTAGCCTTTGAGGTGTCTTTGCGGGTACCCATGGGCCGTCGGCGAGTTGCATTTGTGCTTCACCTGGCCTCAAGGCCCTGGAAATGGAAGGCTAACCTTTCCGGACCTCGCCTATAGACAAAGGGCAGTCTTTGATTTGGGGACTCAATCTCATGACTCCGAGGCTCAGCCCTTCAAAACATGCCCATTCATCCCAAACCTGCCCCCTCATCCCGCCCTTTTGCAGCTTGACTGTGGCCAACACGGTTTCGCTTTGGGGCACCCGTCGCCCCCAAGAAGACACACCCTATGCTCCCAAGGCTTCCGGCGCAACTCTCTAGGAAAGGTGTCTCTGCCTCAGCCAAGCTGGGACCGCGGAGCGGAAGTACCAAAAGTTGAATTAGGCACACCTCAGCTTCCCTCGAATTGGTTTGGATTGGTGGCTTGGCGGTTTAGGGGTGGTTTCCCCTTCACCCTTAGAACTGTGGGCTAAAATCCCCACACCTGACTGACGACCAGGTTCCTTTGGCCTTCTGATTTCGTGGCAACGTGGCATGATTCACGACCCATTCTCTTCAAAACCACAGGGAACCACAACCCCACGCTGTGATGCTGTCGGCTCAGCAGAAAATGCCTAGTCTATTGTCCAGCTTCTCAGCAGGCTCACAGCCAAGTCGGCAGCGCTGGCATGCTTGTTTCAGAGGCCGGAAAGTCAAGCAAAGCGGGACCACTCAAAAACCACGTCTTCTTGGTTTGTTTCTAGGAGAGCCACTATGCTCAAAACCGCCACTGGTCACGGACCCAAAAAAAGTCGAACTGGGCGCCGAGCGGTGCAAAGGAAGTAAGGCTTCCGTACCCGCTCCAGGAACACCGTGCCCTAGCAATGTCTTTCAAGTCTGACCTCTGACTCGGCCATGGGTGTCGAGGGCGGATTGAACCATCATATATAGATAGGAACACGTTGATCCACCTAGACATGAAAGCAGGACGCGAGCCCAACACAACCATCAACTCCCACTGACTTCACAAACCCAAGGTAACAGTAACGGGCTGCCCTCTGGCCAGGTCAGACCCCAGCTTCGGTTGTCATTCAGGCCACGGCCCACGCCCATCCTCTCAAGCTGCCCGGTCTCCGACTTGTGTCCGGGCAAATCCCCACGTACCCCGGGGGAAAGTTACGCAAGCCAAACCAACCCTGTGCAAGGGTTTGGTCAACGTCAACTGCAACTGGCCTCCTGTTCCTGCCTGCAAAACCTGCACATTTCGGAGGGGGGGGGGAAACATTAAAAAACAAAAACAAAAACACCCAGCTTGGCATGACACATAGCAAGCCCGGCACCTAGGCCAAATCACAGGCGCCTGGTTGCCCTTCATGGTGATCCAGCCTCAGGCAAGCAAGCCCCCAAGATCAACCCTCGAGACCCTCTGGTCCACATTTGGGAGGCTGCCTGAACAAGTTCAGCACACACAAAATCCTGGTTACCACTAGGACCTGCATTGTGCGTAGAATGAGGGGCTCAGCCAACTTGCGCTCCAATCAAATCAAGGGCCTTGGCAAAGCCCCTGCAGTTTCAATCTTAATTCACGCTATCTCTGAAAAACATGGTCAGCCCCATTTTCCGTCTTGGAGGACACGACTCTGGATTTTACTTCAACCCAAAAGGTCCCCCCCCGCCCGCCCCACTACCCCCCCCGCCCGCCCCACTACCCCCCCCACCACCCCCCCACCCCCCCCACCACCCCCCCCACCCCCCCACCACACGCCCCCCGCGCTGCGAACTTCTCGGCGTCGGCTCTTGGGGCTCCCGGCCCTCGCTGTTGTCTCGCAGCGCCCGGCATGGAGCGCGCACCAGGCCGCCGGGCTCGTCCTCAACGAAAAAGCGGCGAAAACGAGAACCCTGGCGGTTGGTTTTAGAGGGGAGGAACGGTCCACAAACAACAAAAGGAAATCAACCATTTTGAAGGGTTCACACATGGGTGTCTTGTTTGGGGGGTTCCCCTGTTTTGAGACAAAGCCAAATACAACGTTGGAAAAACCTCTGGGAAACAGGTAGTCTGTTGCGGGTGGATGTGAAGAAGGGCTTGCGATTGTCCGAAACGGACAGCATGCCAAGGCCTGAGAAACGGGGGCCTTTTTTTTGTGGCTCAAGGAAGCAGGCTGCACGTACATCCAACCTGATTGGAAGCCCAAAATGATGCACGCTGCTCCAGTAATTAATTCTTGGAAGGCCCTGGGGTTGGAGGGCCCTTAAGCCCTTGACCACATGAACATGGACGAGTACCTTTCGCCTATCCCTGAGATCCCCATCTGGGAGCTAGCCAGGGAACACGTGGTTCATGGAATGAAGCCATTGTCCACAAATGGTCACCTTCACCTTAAACAGCCCAGCCTCCAGGATAAACTCGCTGGAAACCAAAAGGTTAAGACTGGAAAACCCCTGAGCATTGGCCAGGGAACGCACACGTGTAAGATTGGCCGAAGAGGATTCAGCGGAACTGAGGACCTTGCCGACAGCCTGAGGCCGCGACGGTGCTGGGCTGCCCAAGCACCTCACCGTCTCATGACTAACTTGGCCCAAAGCACCCTCTTGGTCGCCCCAAGGTCTCTCTGCCTGGGAAAAAGGGATGCAAAAACGTGGGAGCCACACCTCAAAACGAACACATGACAAATATGATCCTTCCCTCACTTTGGGTTCGCCCAGGTGCTTTCCAGAAAAGCCCATGCCTGAGCGCACTCCTCACCAACTCAGTGCATGTTTTCAGAACATGTTCAAGCCCCGTTTCGGATGTCTACCTTACAAGTCGGTTTGGAGGAGAGCCATTGTAGCTGAGTTTAGGCTCGGAGCCGCTCGGAGCAACTTGCCCACCGGTGGGTTCAGCCATGGCCTTGTTTAAAACATGATTGAAAGCACTGCTTCAACCTGCATTTGGTTTCCCTAAGCGGCCCAAAGGGCTCGGTTCGGTTTCCTTTTAGTGTTTGACCTGAAGCACATGACTTTCCCTGCTCAATGCCTACCTTTTTTGGTGCCCTGTATGAGGGGTTCTCTTGCCCCGGACCTAAAAATAGGCAGGTTGACCTTTGCCGCGGCTCCCGGAACGGATCTAGTGGCAACCAAAAGGTGATGCTTAAGCTTAAACCTAAACACCCCAGAAACCCCAACAACAAACCGCCAAAATCCCCATATAAATTATAAACACCCCTGTAAACCACTATGAAGCCGCTCTAAGCCCCCAGCTTACACCCCTTCAAACCACGATAAACAACTCTACAGCGGACATTTCGGGGATTCCTGGGCGGATGCCTGGACCACCTCGTCCACCTCGATCTTCCGCGTGGGGGTGCCCTTCACCTGGCCGATACGAGCGGTGCCCGGCAGAAAACGAAAGCCTCCAGCACCCGGGTCCCAACGACTGGCTTGTTGGTCACTGTACTTGGGATTTTGATGGATTTGGGCAGGGAAAAGACAGCTAAAAAGTGCTGGCCGATATATAGAGTATCCTAAAGCATATGCAAGAATGGGTCATTGGAGGCCCATTCCAAGGGGTGAAGCACAAATCCTCGAAAAGGCATGGCTGTCGGCTGTCTCAAAACAGGGATTCGATGCGGGAACGGTTTCGGAGCGGGCACCAACATGACACCAACCCGCCAAACAGGGCCCCCTAATTTTTTGACACATCTCCCTGAGCCAAAAGCGGGTCCACCGTTTGGAGAAACTGCCAAAATTTGAGCGGCGCTTCCCTGGCGGTGGTTCCCAAAGCGCCTGCAGTGCAGGCGTCAAGGCGACCTCCTTCACGCACCTGAGGCAGGCGTTATTTTTTGAGGCTACAAGTTGCTGAATTGAACGTAAGGGAACACCACCATTTTGGGGGTGCCCATTGTGAGACACACCCAGTTTGCAGTCGGCACTCAACGAGTGCGCCAACCCGAATTTGCTGGTCAGCAGAAACGAGCGTGGTAATTTGCTGCTCGCCACATGCGAGAGGCCCCCCACTGCCACTGCTTGAAGTCCTCCCACAGAGTGGGGAAGGCATCTTTTTGGTAGTTTTTCCTGTGGTCATTCCATGTAAGGACTTTTGATCAAGCTCCAGATGTTGCAGCTGCCTACCATCGCTCCCAGCTCCCTTCGCTGTTCTCTTGTTCTAAGGCCCCCTGCTTCCTATACTCCTCCACCTGGGCAGACTGGCTCTTGCAAAGCCCCAGAACCCTACCTCAAGATATGGGCGGCTTTACCCCCTCATTTTTCCATATGGTCCAAAAGCCTGACCGTGTCCATATGGATGCCAGAGCTACACGGGCGTACCCCACAAAAAAAAAAAGGCAGTTGCTCAAGAGATCGTAGTAGTGGGTCGTTACCCATCTTGGAGTAAAAGGAAGACCTGGAGCAGGTTTCACCCTTCAGGGGAGTCTTATTGTTGGGACTCCTGGAAGCTCCACGGCATCCCTGGAAACTCCCTTGAGGTTCCCCCCCGCCGGCGATGTCCACTCCAAGCGCCCGGCCAAGTCTAGGAAAGCACTCCTTGTGACACCAGCCTGGCATTTAACTACTTCCACGCAAGCCTCTGCATGCACGGGTTTGAGGGAGCGAGCTGCATATCTCGAGGGCACTATGACCTAGAGGCCCGCCTCTTGAGGGGCCCTCCCTTTGTTTGGCGGCTTTACAGGACGACCAAAGGAACAACCAAAAGGACAACCTAAAACAAACACACCCATAGGAGCTTTCAACAAAACCCGGCACTGGCCTCAAATCCCTGCAGCGCAGACACCGAGGACATGTCTTTGTCACCTGGGCCCCAGGCGTGGCCCACGACAAGCCCCAAGCCCAGGGCAACAAGTCTTCAAAGCTGCTGCGTGGCCAGGGGTTCAAGGGCGCCTGTCTTTGGCGGTTTGCTCTCTTTTTTTTTTTTGTGCCGGGAAACAACTGCAAAACATGGCGATGAGTTACTTCTGCTGCAGCAATTTCTTATCCATTTGGCTAAACTGGTGACGCTACGAATTTTCAGTAGGCTGGGGTTTGAGCGCTCCAATGCTGGGCACCAGGCCCAAGCAAGAGCGCAGGGACGACACCGAGATCGCCCCATCCTCCACCTGCCCCGGCATCCACGGGAAATGGGTGGGGCGCTTGCCTCATGGCAGCCTGAAAGTGGCGCCCTGGTTCAACATGTCTGCGTGCCCCAGGCACATCCATTGCAGAGAGATACCCTTGGGATCAGTATGGAGGCATTCGGAAGCAGAAGGAAGGCAGGGTTGTGTTGTTGTCCAAAGCCATGTCAGCACCCCGGACACAAACCCCGATGGGCATGTCAAGCGTGCAGACTGGCCCGGCCCTCAACCCCGGGCACGTGAGAACAGCAAGCGCCTCACGCTTCGTGTGAAGTGGACGTTGGCCCGAGCTTTAGTTTCTCCGCCGGAGGTTTTCCCCCACCAAGCTGGGCATAGGCTTCATGCAGCTGTGCAAGCCAACAGCGTCTTTTCATTGGATCAATCACGTAGTTTGTTGTGCAAAGGTCCCGTAAGCTTTTAAACTGCCGCTAGATAAACGCTCTGTGTGCTTATCACATCTGATCACAAAACGCAGCAATCGCAGTATGCACGCACTGAAGACAGGGTTGAACAGGCAATTGTATACACTGCCCACCCACATGTGCATACACTGAAGAAACAAAGGGATGCTCACACCTAGACACAAAACTCAGGACACATGCACAAACTTGCAGAACACTCAGAACATCTATGTATGCGGGTACGTTCAGGATACATACTCGCAAGACGCATGCGAGTACATGGTGGTGTGAACGCACCTGTCTGTTCACCGCGCTAACGAAGAGAAACCTACCACACTTGCATATGCGCGGAAACACATTGGACATGTCACACATTTGCATACATTGCGATGACACGTGTAAACAACCGTCCTGTCACCCTCACCCTCACCAGCGGCGCCCCATACGTGCACCCTGCAACAACCCGCACCCGCCGACAGCGTCACGCACTGTTACTCTCACCAGCGCCACCCTCCAACCACACCCTTCAACAGCACCTCAGCGCCAACAACACCCTGCAACAACCTGCGCCTCGCCAATGGGAACCCCCAACAAGTCCCTGCGTCTTGCGTCGCGCCACCAGTAGCCCACAACAGCCAAGTTTCCGTGTCACACTCCCCCCCCCTTTACTTGAAGTTGAAACCCTATAGCTTTCAGCTACTTTGGGGGAAACACACATTGTGCTTCGCAGTCACCCTCAGAATGGAATAGCAAAACACCTAATTGAAACACATGCCGAGAGATACCAAGAACGCGTGCTCATTTATCGTGACTATTTGCCCCGCGGACCAAGCCTCGTCGCCGGCTTCGCCGGAAACTGGGCGGATGTGCTGGTTCAACGATCGAAGTTTCGGAGAACATCTCTGGGCGTCAACATTGGGGGGTATACAAGGAATCGTCACCTTGTGGTTTCCTTTCAGGTTTCGCAAGGAGAAAACAAAACATGGTTATAACATGTTCTTCCGCACCCCGATCGATCTCCTGAAAAGGACGTTAACAGCCTCCCAAAGGGAGGCCATGTGTCTTCTCAAACTGGGCAAGAGGAGCCGTAAGATTCTTGCTGCATGGGTCAATCACCCCCGTCGACTCGCAAAATACAAGGATGCTGAAACAGCTGCCTATGTAGAATCGCGTGCCAAGGTAACAAATGCTCCCAAACCCAGGGCAACATGACGAGCAAATCAGCGCAGTCCGGTCATTGCTAAGGGCCTCCCATAAATAGGCGGTATTCGGAGTTTGCGTCGGTATTGTGCAGCAAATCGCCGCCCTTGTGCTGGATATGTGCGATTGATTCTTTTCCTTGGGCTCCTGTCACCTTTTGCCATTTTGCAGTTTCCACCCTCAAGCCTTCACCGAAGAGCTTGGCAAACTGGCCTGTCATGCCAAACAATACAAGCGACTACCCAAATGCATCCTCAGAACAAACAGGTGATATAGCGGGTAAGGGAAGCCCGCCTGCGATACAGCTTTCCTTGCAAACCTACTTGAAGGGAGCTGGTTGTTCCAGCAACTCAGTTGCCCAAAGGACCTGGAAACAAAAGGTTAACCTTGTGGGGCCACTAAAAATGGACCAAAATTGGCAAACCAAAAGGTCAGATTTTTCGACTCGCCCAAGGGGCAACTGAGGCAAACGCCTTTTCGCAGCTGATCGAAGAGCGCATCCGCTGAGAGCTGGCTTTTGAGGGCCTTGCTTCGAGTCGAAGAAGCAAGCGATCGATGGAAACGACCCCTTCCATGAGGGTCACTCCCAGGGGTGCCGTCCGCTGTTTTTCCTGAGCATCCTAGTTAAATTAACATCCCTTCTCGGCCCCTACCAACGGAAAGTCATATTTCTCGCCCGGAGGATACCTGAAAGGATGGCCTTCGTCAACAGCGAGCTTGCTAAACTCCAGCTACCTGACCTGGGATCTTGATGTTACTGAGTGCGGCCAAAGTAGAAAAGGGAACCCTTTTTGGGACTTCGGCTTTCCATTTGCAAACCCGCGCATTGAGAAAGGGACCATTGGTGTCAGTGGCTCCTTGAGGTGTTGCTTCTTCGAAGCTCAAAATGATGATCCCTATGACGTGTTCCCCAAACATCGCAATAGCAACCCAAGCCTGTGGTGCATTCCGCGCTGACTTGCAGCATGTGAAGAACCCCTTGATTCTACTCCTTTGATTCTTACTGTGAAAAAGCCCGGCCGGACGCACGGGGGCAAAAACTCCGTGGCCATGCACATCATTTGTGGGTTCATGTGAAAGCCCAAGCACCAAGACTAGATCGCCCAATTCCCTTGGTAGGACTTATGACATTAAAAGACCTCCAAACCTGGAGTCCCCATGACCCTTCAAACATGCGCACAAAATCCCTTGACTTTAGGTAATGACCCCATGTGTTGAGGGTCATGGAGACTCCAGGAAGCCTGATTCACAGCTTTGGGGCACCACAAATACCAGGTCTGTGTGATTGAAAGCCGCCCTGCTCTCGCCCCCTCTCTGGTTTGCGCCCAAGGGGCGTGTTCTCGGAGTTGATCTCCCACCGACCGCCGCCTCAGGGGTTTATCATTGCACCGTGTCAAATTCTGAGTTGTGGCAGCAACCAACGTCGCTGCGCTGCAAATACAGATGAAACCATGGATAGTTGGAGCGGTATTTGATGGAAGAGCTGTTTGTAGACCTGCTTGGCAACGCTTGAAGCGTCAATGCATTTGAATCAGCGGGTTGCATATCAAAGTATGGTCTGTTGTGAGTGGTTGGGTGGAAAAGCAACCCCTGCAAATACTGGCTTTTCGTGCGCTGTCTGTTGACTTTTTCATCTGAAGCAACACCTGCTGCAAACACATGAATGCTACAACTTCTCTGTGCACGCATCCAGGGTTGATTTGCCGGCTGGCGCGTCCCAACGAGGCTGGAATGAGGCTGGAACACATCCTCCATCATCTCCGTCTTCTTTTCCTGGCACACCCGTTGAGAAGTGGGTGACTCGCATGGGTAGTGGGCCATTCAACACCACAAAGACATTTGGAAACATGTTGCAGCCCTTGGCAGAAGCCTTTTTGAGCTGATTGCCTGCGCAACCGGCAGACGTCAGACTTGACGCGGGCGCAACAACAAAAAAACACCAGGAAGGAAGTCTTGCCCACATGTGTGAAGCTGCCCCTGCAAAACGAAAGCATTCAGTCGTGCCGCTATGCTCACAAACCTGCAGCCTGCAAGATGGCCCTCAGAAGGCATGAGACCCGCGTCACATCATAGCCTGTGGCATATCATACCACACTTCATGTTGCCAACGCTGCGTATCACAGCAAAGTGCGGCCCAACCACTCAACGGGACCGAACATCAATCTGAGGGCGCTATAATTCACCCAGATCAATCCCCGCTTGAAACCAGCTGCCTGAATGGTCTTCAGGTGCTTCTTGCAGTTGCTAGGTAGCGGGGCAAGCTTCACCTTCGGCCGCGGTCGGACTGGAGCCCGAGGTCACCTTAAAGCAGCATGACAGCAAACTCGGACCTGAGGCGGTCTCAGTGGTCTTCCTTCCCTTATCTTCCCTTCAAGACCGGATTTCTGACGCCAAAAACGATCTCACTGGCCAAAGCTAGCTGGAAATGCAAGGCCAACCTTGTGGGGCCACAAAAAATAGAACAACATGGGGAAGCCAAAAGGTCAAAAGGCTGATTCGCTTTGGGCAAGCGAGATTCAAGTTAAACCAATGAGCCACAAATGCTTCATGGCCAGACACCCAGCGCATGCCAGGCAACCGCTGGAAACCGAAGCATTTCCACTTAGGGGAGAATAGGGCACCCGTTTCAACGGGATCGATGGACAGCCAACATAATTCAGATGAACCTGGAGGGAGATCCAACTGAGCTTGAGGAACGCCCAAGTTAACATCGCCAGACCTAGCCTTTGGCATTTTGTAGCCTGTTTGCTCAGAAGGATCCCAAGGCCTCAGAAGAAGGAACGTTCAGGAAATTGTGAAATGGCTGGCGAAATCCAGTGAGGGACAAAACCAACACTTGCTAAAGGGCCTGCTTTCACATTGGCGTGTGCGCTCTGCGACGTGCGATGAATTTCGGACGTAAGCATTGTCCGATGTATAGCAGTTGAACGTCGGTCATCCATCGAACTGGTAGTTGGATTGGTGGTTTGGCGGTTCAGCGGTGGTTACCCATTTACCCTCTGCAAGAACCAGAGGTTCAAATCCCAACCACCAATTAAAGGTTTGCTGAAATAGTGGGGTTTTACTCAGGTTGATAAAGTGACTGGAGTGTATATTGGTTTGGCTTGTGCAGGCATGCGAGCCTCGGTTGTGTCAATCTAGGCTAGTTGGCGCAAACACTCTCCCCCGAGTCCATGTTTCCAGGTATCATTTTTTGAGGGTACCCTTTGGAGTGGTTTGAAAGGGAAACCTGTCAGTTTAGGGGTTCCCTATCTCACTTGCCCAAAGGACCCAGAAATACAAAGTTAACCTTTTAAAGCAATGACTAAAAACGGACCAAAATTGGAAAAGCAACAGCCGATTTGCTTTGGAGCTTGATGGCAAACTGAAGTGCCGTTACACCCCAGCGTCCCGCCTTCAGCCGGAACATCATTCGCCGGGCATCAAAGAGAGGCCCCTGCACGGCGTTTGCCCGTTCGCGCCACGTTTCGGGGGGTTCTGTAAGCGCTGACCGGGAAGCTAGCCTCGGAGATAGGAAGCATCCATTGAAGATCTGTTTGGAGCCTTGCGTTCGGGACTTCAAGTTTCAGCCGGATGGGGCGGGGCCCTTGCTTTGATCTCAATTGGGGCAAGGCCCCTCGGCCAGGTGGGAGCAATCTGAAACAGCTAATGCTGTTGGAACAACAAACTGCAAGGAGCCCCCAATCCCCTTCTGAGATACATGCGGAAAGAGACTCTGGGGCAACCTGGTTTGCAGTTGGATGCTCTCAACACAAAGTGCAATCGAATTCCAAAGACACTTGGAGGCTTTGCAAAGAAAAGCAACGCCTGCTCCACTTCACCAGCCAAGCAGCGCAGATGGCACTGAGCATTTTCCAGTAATTAAACGTAAGTGGTTTGACCACCAGGCGAGAAGTCACCTATTAGGCATGTGATGGCATGTGCTACTGTCTGGGCCCCGTTCATAGTGGCAATTGTTTCAGGACCCGCCATAGAAGGGTATGTTGAAATGACTAGAGCATCACAGCTCTGGCATCAAACACATATCGTATACCGGTACCTTTGCACGGCTGAGGAAACAACTTGGGAAACTTGGTAGGGCCCCCAAACTGCGTCAGGAATATCAGTAGCTGGGGTTGAGAAAATTTAAGAAACACTCTTGCCATCTGACCAGACCCCTCAAAACCCGATGCAGCAGCGTATTTCAGCTGCCCCTGAAAATCACATTGGAAGCCGAAATCTGATAGCTCGCTCAAGGGACCACACATACGAAATCCGATCTCTCGCGCAAGTCTGGCCTGCAGCAATAGTTGAGTTTGGCTCGAAACTCAAGGGACCTCCCAGAAGGTCGGCTTCCTTTTGGTGTCCTTGTTGAAACCAGCCATGAAGGGGGTTCACACAAAGAGTCACACTCTTGCTAGCACGCCTTGCTAGCATTCCGGATCTCCTCCATGACCGTCTTCATGATCTTGCCCTCGCCCTGTTTGCGGCCAGTCTTCACTCTCCGCCCGTGGGCTGACCACCCCGGCCCGCCACGCACCTCAGCTTTTGCTTCTCTAAAATGACATGCTTAGATTCTGACCTGTACCAAGTTCCACCTTGATATGTAAAAACGTCAAAGGAGGTCCCAGCTTCCTACCCTCCCCAAAGAAGAAACCTGCCAGGACCCTTTGTGAACATGGAATTCCTGGGCAGAAACCACCTGTTTCTCAAATCAAGGGTAGGTAAGAAGTGTGTGACTGTATGACCCATGCTTGCTAAAAAGTCTTAGAATTTGGACCAGCTCGCAGTCTCTTCCTACCGTTTCACTCCCTATCCCTTCCTGTTCCTTGTCTTACCGTTCCTCCCGTCTCTAGACAAGTCCCAGAAAGTAAAGAAAGATGTCCAGGATTTTACCGAGTGAACAGGTGAGAGAGGGAAAAGACAGACATCAGCCATCACTTCACTCCTCTCTCCACCACCTGTTCGCTCTTGGAATCGCATGCCAGGTAAACGAACGGAGAGAGAGTGAACAATGGCGAAGATAAAGAGATGAAAGGGATGGTGAGAGAGACCAAATGATAGAGAAGGAATGGCTCTCTCTCACTCCATCTCTAATCCTTTCCATCTTCTACATCTCACATCTACAGTAGAGATGGGAAAGGTAACATGATGAAGGAAAAGTATAGGGGAACGCTATGAAAAGAAAAGAAGCATTCCATCTCCTATCATCTTCACCATGTAACTTTTCTATCTTTTGTTTTCTATCTTTATTTTTATTTTCTTTTCCTTCGTTAAGTCGTGAATCCCAGAGGTGAAAGTAAAATGAAGAGAAAGAGATGTGTGAGACCAGAAACTCCAGATGTACGAACGGAGAGAGCGATTGGAGGTAAATGGTCATCTCTTTCCCACTCATCTCTCTCACCTTTGGATTCGTCACTGTGTAAAAGCTAAGATAAAGAGATGACGAATCCATAGGAAGGAAAGGTGACTGATAGGAAATAGATGTCACCTTGAGATTTAGAATGGTTTTATGATGTACATCCGATCGTCTCTAGAACTCGCCTCTTCCAGCCTTCTTCAGACGACAGAGAGGAGAGAGGGATGACCCGCTATCCGTTCCTTCGTCATGTCCTTTCTGTAATAGCGGTTCGTCTCCTGGTCACTTCCTTCCTTGTATCCTCTTCCAGCGTCTGGGGTTACATGGTGGACGGAAGGGAAGCATGAATCCAGAAAGCGAGGATAGAGGGAAGGGATGAATGAAGAGATGACATAGGAAGGATATTCTCATCCCTTTGTCTGTCTTATCTCTCTTCCGGAGAATCCAGACGAACTCGCCTCTCCCAGCCTTCTTCAGACACAGGCTGGTGCATCTCTTTCATACCCGTCCTAACATCCAAAAGGGACGGGAATACAATTGAGTTCTAAGGTAAAAGGAAATAGAAAAGAACCCAAATGACCCATAATCTCTTTCCTGTCGTCTAAACTTCAGAAAGCTCCCAACAAAAGAAAGGGAGTGCTGTCATGTCTATCTCTTTGTTTCGTGCTTCAATCCCCTGCGCTCGTCTCTGGAATCAACCGCTAATACAAAGGGAAAAAAACATGAAATAGGCCCAACAATAAGAACTCAATTAGAAGCAGTTAGGTGGGTCATCTTCTTTTACTTTCATACCCACATCTTTTCATCTCTAAGACTCACTCGTCGCTTCATAGCGGCGAGGATTAAAGGTGAGTCTGCGAGATGAAAAGATGTGGGTATGAAAGTCAAAGAAGATGACCCACCTAACTGCTTCTAATTGAGTTCTTATTGGTGGGCCTATCTCTTTCTTCTCCCTTTGTGTTAGCGGTTGATTCCAGTGACGCGTGCAGGGGATTGAAGCACGAGACAAAGAGATAGACATGACGACCCTCCCTTTCCTTCTTTGGAGCTTTCTGGAGTTTAGACAACAGGTGACACTCTATCTCTCTCTTCACCACTGGAAAGGATTAGAAATAGAATGGTGGTGAAGACAAAGAGATGATAGAGTGAGGAATGACATGCTTCTCTCGTTCACTCACCAATGAAGGTTGACTGTGTGCTAGCGAATCATTCTCTGAGTTCAGCCGCCAGTCAGGGAAGGTCCAACATTCCCACTTCCTTCTTTCCTGCTCTTGGGATTACACGGCCAGGCGAAGATACCAAGAGATAGAAAGGAAAGGGAACAGTGTGACAGAGAGCGGATATCCTTCTTTCCTCTTTCCTCGTTCTCTCGTCTCTCGGACATCAGGATAAAGAGAAGAGAGACGAAGGAACAGGAAGGCGAGTTATCTCTGTCACTTTACTGTTGACCCGCCAAGTCTCAGAGATTAACCAAATACAAGACAGAAAAGTTATTACAGCTATTACATGGAAAGGGATATGAATGTAATAGTTGTTCCTCGTTCCACCATCCACTCGCTTCTCCCCCTTGACCGTGTTAACGAGAGAACTTGTCCACCTTCCTCCTCGCTCCGGAAAGCCGCGAGACAAGGCAAGGAGGAAGTGGCGAGTGATGATATGCGAAGATAATGAAAGCTGTCTATCCACTGTCTTTCATTTGTACCTTCTATCTCTGGCCTCTTTCGTCACTTTGGGCTTCTTGGGTGTGACGAAAGGAGGAGAGAAGTGGCAGCCTCTTCCTTCTCACCGCTGCAATCATCTTTTTATTATGGAAATGCTATGACAAAGATAGAAGCATGTCCCCCTTCCTCGCCTGTTAATAATGGCGAGTACAGAGATGACCCGACGTACGAACAGCGGATGGGGCACTCACGAAGGAACCGGCCAGGAAGGGAAATCTTTCAAAAAAGGCCGGATCACTATCTCTTTACGTGGGTGAAGAAAGGTCACATGCTATTTCTCTTTACCTTTGTCTATCCCAGTGAAGCAATGAAATTCCAGAATGAATGGGACAAAGGAAAGAAGACAGAGAATGGGAGAAGTGAGAGATGGAAGGGACTCACGACATCTCACTCACTTCCCACACCTTATCTTTTACTCGTCACTTTGTACCTCGTAAAAACCCTTAATAAAGACTAATATAAAAAGATGGGAACACACGAACGAGGGAAGTGTTGTTTAGAGGATTTTTTGGCGGACGGAGGAACCCCTCTTCGCTCTTCATCAAGTTACATTTGGAGGAGTGAAACGAAAAGATGGAAAGAGATAGGATATGATGAAGGATTAGGAATGGAATGGCATCACTTCATCATATTAACTGTCTCTCTTTTCCAATTCTCTCGCTTCCCTCTCTATCTGTTCCTTTTGGAGTGTCAGCGAGAATTAGAATGGGTTTGTGGTGATGAAGGAAGAAGTCTTGTCCGCGGTTACAAATGATTTCCTCTTCCTTCATCTCCCAGCTGTCACTTCCCTTCACTTCCTCCTCCTCCTTGAGTCTCCGGAAGTTACATGAAGAGACGAATAAAGGGAGGAGAAGGCAGGGAGAGCGGGCTATCTTTCATCTTATCATCTGTCCCGCCCGCTCACTGTCACTTTCTTTTCCGTAAAAACCATTCATCTTGGAATTCCTGTAACTCAAGGAAAATTCGCTAATAAGAAAGGAATGGGTTTTTACGTGGGGAATAGCGAGTTAACGAGCGAAGGAAAGAGGAATGCTATCTTCATTCCGTCTCCTGTCTGTGTCTCTAGGAGCCTTTTTGATGCACGAACGAAGGATGCGGCTGGAGTACGAGGAAGAAAGGGAAAAGAGACAGGAATGACGGATGAAGTGAACATGAGAACCAAGAAGGAATGCAAAAGACCAGCAAAGATAACCGTTCTATGTCTCTCTTCAAATGTTAGAATGTTTCTTTTAGTTCTTTTCTACTTTGCCTCCTTTGGAGTCTTAACTGGTGTTGGAGGTAGATCTCAGAGTTAACACGGCATACAGGGGGAAATGACACATGATGACCCATTAACTCCAAACCGTTCCTCCGCTACGCTCTGTCTCTAGGAGTTAATCTGTTGGGTCACAATGGTAACAGCCAGGATGGGATAATGAAAGAACGAGTGAAGCGAGAAAGGAATTAGACCAGAATGAAGCTGTGGACATAGAGACAGCTATGAAGGAATGGTCAACCGGTGATGAAGGATGATGAAAGCTGCCCTCCTGTCTCTCCTCACTCTGGAATCCTTTTAACCGTGAGGAGATAGAGAGCAGAGAGATGCCTTAAAGAAGGAAGAGGTGTCACCCACCTAAAGTTGATTCAAGATGGTGGGTGGCGTAGAGTGGTAACATGGGAGAGGTGACGAAGGAATTCACTCTCCTATTCGCTCTCACTCCCTTCCTCCATTCCTAAATCTCAAGATGGAAATGGATAGAGGAAGGACAGGCATCTCTTCATTCATAATCTATTTGCTAATAATAAAAGCAACTAACAGATTATAAAAGAGATGCATCTGTCCACCCTCATGCTTGACAAGGAAGTGACCATAAAGCCAAGCATGAAAGAGAGAATGAACAGAGGAAGGGAAAGATGTCCATCATAAGATCCTCGACATCTCTTTCCCTTCTCTATGTGCTTCCCTATCCATCTGGAGATTTATGATGTACGAACAGATGAAGAAAGAGGAGCAGGCTGGTAAGGGATAAGAGAGCCTGTTCGCCATCTATCTTCTTTCCTCTTCTTTCCCATTCATATGCTGCCTCTCTTTTCTCGCAGCTGTGAATGAGACAGGAAAGAGATGGTGGGTGATGGATGTAGGTGGCAGCTGGAAGCGAAAGGAAAGCCACTCACTGATCAGGATCATTCCATCCCATGGATAGCGAGCAAAGGGCTGGATCACTTCCCACTTACAACCGTCTAATCCTCAGGGTCTATCCTTTCCATAAAGACACGCTTCTCTTTCCCTTTACTTCTTCTTTACAATTCTTTTATTTTGGAAATCATTACGTTTCGAAGTTACATCAGACTCATGTTGTTTTCTTGTTAATACTTCTATCTTACTAGTCTTTGCAAATATTAGAATTCTGTTTATCTTTGCAGGATTTAATACTTATTGTTGGACTGGAATGCACTTCTCCTAGAACTATTTTCTTATATTATTTCACTTTAGTTTATGATTTATTTATAGTTGTGATATTTGGTCTAGAGATTCATTAAGAGAGTCTTATTAATAATCTTCTTCTTCTTTTTGGACGTTTTCTAGTTTCCCCAACTGGGAGAAAGAAGCGTTTTGGCCTGGATACGCAGGCGCGCTCAACATCGCTGCCCGCGTGGAGCCCTTGTTCGGGGCCGACGGTAGGGCAGGTTGGGGTTGAAGGGAACACGAGAAATTCAACCCACCAGTGGAAGTTGGGAAACCTTCCTTCAGATGAAGAAAGCCTGGATGTTAACCCCTTGGCTGGCAATGCGCCTACTCACATCAACTTTGCCATGTTGGAAGGTTTCGCGTTGGTGGACCATCGCTTTTCTCGCGAAGCTTGACCATGCCAACCTTCTAGGAAAAGGTGGGGTGGCCCTTACCAACCCTTTACTCAATGAATGCCTTCTTGCTATCAACATCTATCAACAAACCTTGCCCAAACAATAACTCCCCCCCAAGCCGACTTTGGGAGGGTTGTTGCTATTCATCATCCGCGAGAGGGGGGAATGGTTTCAGAGACTTGGAAGCCGTCGCTGGGCAACCATGCCAACTTCCCTGCCTCTGCGCAGGCCTCCACCACTGCCAGCAGGTCCTTCTCCACTTGCTCCAAGGCCTCCCCCACCAAACCGCTGCGGCCCTTTATCGTCTCGGTGGGTTCTCTTTCAACGTCCCTCTGGCAACTCCACCCATTCATTGGAGTTGGTCATTCCCTTTTTGGCCCCCATTTTGGAGGGAGTAAGGGCTGAGTGATTGGTGTGACTGGGCAGGTCGCAGATTCCGGATTTCTGCATTCTGGGTGGGCTTCATGCCCGAACTCTCAGATTCTTGGTGAGGCCTTTGAATGAGGCATTTCGTGATTTCATGGGCTACCTACCGCATGTGAACCTGAAGAATGTTGCCCGTGCTGGCCTTTCCCTTGCCAGATCCTCGGAAAACCTCTGGTGCAGGAGATTCTGGGGGGAGTAGGCCTAGCCTTCACAGGCACGACTACAACTCATTGCACTTTGCGTTGCCATGATGTCTGGCATGGCTCAAACATGGTTTAGCGAGGGGTCGAATCTCGCCGCTTGCAAGCCTCCGGGAAGTTCATCGTCCCCAGCCAGAATGAAACCCGCCACCGCCTTCTTCCCGAAAGCATTATGGAAAGTGACCAAAGGCAAGCAAAGCGAGCCAACATGCAGGGGTGCTAGTGGAGTGGTTGCTCAAGAGTTGGTGTTGCGTGCGTCCGTGCGTCCGTGCGTCTGTGCGTCCGTGGGTGCGTGCGTGCGTGCGTGCGTGTAGGTGTGTGTGTGTGTGTGTGCGCGCGTGGGCGTTGGTTTCATGCACGTGCGTCTGCTTCCCTTTTGTCATTCGCAAGTAGCTTTCGATAGAACTCTATAGCTCGCCGCGCGGCTCCGCACAGACCGCGTCAGCCGCCGGCGCACGAGAGCTCGTCAGCGCGTGGCTGCGAGCAGAAAACATCACGCGTCTATACTTGTGCGGCTGTGGGCCGTCTTCAGCGCCCACAGGGCGTAGTCGCGGCCTCCCCACGACCGCAAGGAAGGTCTCGCCTGATGAAGCTGCGCGACGTAGACCTCCGCGGTCATGCCTTGCCAGCGCAGAGCGTACGGGGCTTCGATTGATGCCCCCAACGCAGTGAATCAAAACATTGCAAGCCTCTCCAGCTTGAGCGAGTTCTTGTCGAAGCTTGCGCAGCATGCTGCAGGCAGCCACGCAAGCATCGATCTTTGTGCTCCTTGGCAAGAAAGCGGCCAGCTTCGTATTCAGGCACGCCCTCTCCGGACGCGAGCGCTCGCAGATCCTTCACCGCCAATTTAGGCAACTTGCTCTGCAGCCAGTCTGCCCCACGCTTGGCAAAACCCTGTCGCAGACGAGCGAGGGACGGTGTAGGAGCTGAAGATGTGGAACTGGTTGCCTGGAGCCGGTTTCAAGCCTGCACAAACGGCAAAACAAAACGTGCCACCGAATCATTTTGAGCCCCGAGCCTGGGGCGTCGCAAAGTGGTCAAAAAGCGCAGTGGCCAGTTCCTCTCTGGGAAGAAAATGACCAGAAACCTGCTGAGCCACGCCAGCAGCGACAGCCAGCTCTCGCATATTCTTTAAGGACAAGTTAGCAAGTTCGCTCTGGAGCCATTCTGCTCCACGACTGAAAAAACCTCTCTGTATTCGCTCCGCTGGCATAGGCGCACCCTGTGCCAGCCGAGCAATCATGGCTGAATTCACAAGGAACTTGCGCTCGACGCACAGACCGCGGTAAACCCTAGATCCCTTGCCCAATTGTCCTTGCATCTCCTTGCTTTAAAACATGGAAATGCTGCGGCATAAACATGCCATGTCGCAAAAGCATCTCTAAGACTCTTCATGCATCAAAGACAAGCAAATCAAGCTGACAGACATGCTGGGGTGCCAGTGGAGTGGTTGCTCAAGAGTAGGTGTTGCGTGCGTGCGTGCATGCGTGCGTGCGTGTGTGCGTGTTTGGACATGTGGCGTGTCGTTTTTCGAGGCTGCCCATCAGGGGGAAACCAGAAGGAAAACCACCTTGTTTTGGGTCCCCCCGTCCCATTTTGCGACGAGCCAGTGTGCCAAAATAGGATCCAAGAAGCTGTGGTTTCCAGTTGAATTCCCCCCTGGACCAGGGTGAGCAGGGCAAAAGGAACAAGCAAACCCTTTTCCGGCGACGTGAGCGCGCGCGCTGTCTGTGTGTGTGTGTCTGTGTCTGTGTCTGTGTCTGTGTCTGTGTCTGTGTCTGTGTCTGTATCTGTGTCTGTGTGTGTCTGTGTCTGTCTGTCTGTGTGTGTGTGTCTGTGTGTGTGTGTGTGTCTGTGTCTGTGTCTGTGTCTGTGTCTGTGTCTGTGTGTGTCTGTTTGTGTGTGGGTGTCTGTGTGTGTCTGTGTGTGTCTGTGTGTGTCTGTGTGTGTCTGTGTGTGGGTGTGTGGGTGTGTGTGCGTGTGCGTGTGCGTGTGCGTGTGCGCGTGCGTGTGCGCGCGTGCGCGTGCGCGTGTGCGTGTGCGTGTGCGTGTGCGTGTGGGTGTGTGTGTGTTTTGCATGCAACACTTAGCTGTCGCATGTCTCAACTGACATGTGCGTGTGTGTGTGTGCCACACTTGCGCGCGTGAGAGCGTGTGTGCTAGCACGGGTATCTGCAAAGTTTGCTCCTTCTGTGACTGATAGCTTGCGCGCGTGCGTGCGCGTGTGCTCGCACGGCAAAGTTTGCCCTTCTGTCGGTGTTGCGAGCCTGTCTGCAAGGGTTGCTCTGCGCAAGTGCTCGGCCCAAGTTTTCCACTCAACTTGCTCCGCGTGCGCAAGTGCTCCGTCCGTGCAAGTTGCGATACGCAAGAGCTATGCACAAGTGTGCTGCGCAAGCTCGGGTCAAGTTTCCATGAGCAAGTTCTCCGAGCGCGGCCGCGGGATTGCGAAAGCAGGCGCGCAAACCACGAGACAACTTCCGAAGGCCATTTCGAGAGAAGAAAATCTCACGCCACGACAGCGAGCGCTTCAACACGCACGAATCGCACGATCTCCGCAGAAGGTTCGCCGAGACTAAGACGAATTCGCGCGGGGCCACAGCGAGGTCGCGCGCGCAAATCAAAAATCGTAACAAGTCCTCAGTTTTTGCGCCTCGACCACGCCAACCCCGCAGAGGGTCGCTCGGGAACCGCAGAAATCGTAAAAGTCCTCAAGTTTTTGCACCTCGACCACGCCCATGCCCGCAGAGAGTCGCGCGCGAACCGCAGGAATCGTAAAAAGTCCTCAGTTTTTGGACATCGACCACAGAAATCCCCGCAGAGGGTGTCCTTTTCACAGGTGCGTTCGGTCTCACCGCGCCGCCTTAAGAGACGCAAACAAACTAATTACTTTCGTGTCCACATGTCTCGTGCAAGTTTGGCTGTGTGATATCTCGCGCAAGTTCTTCTCATGCAAGTTGGCTCGTGCAAGTCGGCTCGTGTAAGTTGGCTCGTGCAAGTTGGCTCATGCAAGTTGGCTCGTGCAAGTCGGCTCGTGTAAGTTGGCTCGTGCAAGCTGGCTCGTGCAAGTTGGCTCGTGCAAGCTGGCTCGTGCAAGTTGGCTCGTGCAAGTTGGCTCGTGCAAGTTGGCTCGTGCAAGTTGGCTGTGCAAGTTGGCTGTGCAAGTTGGCTCGTGCGAGTTGGCCCGTGCAAGTTGGCTGGTGCAAGTTGGCTCGTGCAAGTTGGCTCGTGCAAGTTGGCTCGTGCAAGTTGGCTCGTGCAAGTTGGCTGTGCAAGTTGGCTGTGCAAGTTGGCTCGTGCGAGTTGGCCCGTGCAAGTTGGCTGGTGCAAGTTGGCTCGTGCAAGTTGGCTCGTGCAAGTTGGCTCGTGCAAGTTGGCTCGTGCAAGTTGGCTGTGCAAGTTGGCTGTGCAAGTTGGCTCGTGCGAGTTGGCCCGTGCAAGTTGGCTGGTGCAAGTTGGCTCGTGCAAGTTGGCTCGTGCAAGTTGGCTCGTGCAAGTTGGCTCGTGCAAGTTGGCTGTGCAAGTTGGCTGTGCAAGTTGGCTCGTGCGAGTTGGCGTGCAAGTTGGCGTGCAAAGTTGGCTCGTGTAATTTGGCTCGCGCAAGTTGGCTGTTCAAGTTGGCTCGTGTGGCAAGTTGGCTCGTGCAAGTTGGCTGTGCAAGTTGGCTCGTGCAAGTTGGCTCGTGCAAGTTGGCTCGTGCAAGTTGGCGTGCAAGTTGGCTCGTGCAAGTTGGCTCCTGCAAGTTGGCTCGTGCAAGTTGGCTCGTGTTAGTTGGCTCGTGTAAGTTGGCTGTGAAAAGTTGGCTCGTGAAAGTTGGCTCCTGCAAGTTGGCTGTGCAAGGTGGCTCGTGCAGTTGGCTCGTGCAAGTTGGCTCGTGCAAGTTGGCTCGTGCAAGCTGGCTCGTGCAAGTTGGCTTGGCTGTGCAAGTTGGCTCGTGCAAGCAAGTTGGCTCGTGCAAGTTGGCTCGTGCAAGTTGGCTCGTGCAAGTTGGCTCGTGTAAGTTGGCTGTGGAAGTTGGCTCATGCAAGTTGGCTCGTGCAAGTGCAAGTTGGCTCGTGCAAGTTGGCTCGTGCAAGTTGGCTCGTGCAAGTTGGCTGTGCAAGTTGGCTGTGCAAGTTGGCTCGTGCGAGTTGGCCCGTGCAAGTTGGCTGGTGCAAGTTGGCTCGTGCAAGTTGGCTCGTGCAAGTTGGCTCGTGCAAATTGACTCGTGCAAGTTGGCTCTGCAAGTTGGCTGTGCAAGTTGGCTCGTGCGAGTTGGCCCGTGCAAGTTGGCTGGTGCAAGTTGGCTGGTGCAAGTTGGCTCGTGTAAGTTGGCTGTGCAAGTTGGCTCGTGCAAGTTGGCTCGTGCAAGTTGGCTCTTGCAAGTTGGCTGTGCAAGTTGGCTCGTGCAAGTTGGCTCGCGCAAGCTGGCTCGTGCAAGTTGGCTCGTGCAAGTTGGCTGTGCAAGTTGGCTTGTGCAAGTTAGCTCGTGCAAGTTGGCTGTGCAAATTGACTCGTGCAAGTTGGCTCGTGCAAGTTGGCTCGTGCAAGTTGGCTCGTGTAATTTGGCTCGCGCAAGTTGGCTGTTCAAGTTGGCTCGTGTAAGTTGGCTCGCGTAAGTTGGCTCGTGCAAGTTGGCTGTGCAAGTTGGCTCGTGCAAGTTGGCTCGTGCAAGTTGGCTCGTGCAAGTTGGCTCGTGCAAGTTGGCTCGTGAAAGTTGGCTCCTGCAAGTTGGCTGTGCAAGTTGGCTCGCGTTAGTTGGCTCGTGTAAGTTGGCTGTGAAAAGTTGGCTCGTGCAAGTTGGCTCGTGCAAGTTGGCTGTGCAAGGTGGCTCGTGCAAGTTGGCTCGTGCAAGTTGGCTCGTGCAAGTTGGCTGTGCAAGTTGGCTCGTGCAAGTTGGCTCGTGCAAGTTGGCTCGTGGAAGTTGGCTCGTGCAAGTTGGGTGTGCAAGTTGGCTCGTGCAAGTTGGCTCGTGCAAGTTGGCTCGTGCAAGTTGGCTCGTGCAAGTTGGCTCGTGCAAGTTGGCTCGTGTAAGTTGGCTCGTGTAAGTTGGCTCGTGCAAGTTGGCCGTGCAAGTTGGCTCGTGCAAGTTGGCTCGTGCAAGTTGGCTCGTGCAAGTTGGCTCGTGCAAGTTGGCTGTGCAAGTTGGCTCGTGTAAGTTGGCTCGTGTAAGTTGGCTCGCGCAAGCTGGCTCGTGCAAGTTGGCTCGTGCAAGTTGGCAGTGCAAGTTGGCTCGTGCAAGTTGGCTCGTGCAAGTTGGCTGTGCAAGTTGGCTCGTGCAAGTTGGCTGGGCAAGTTGGCTCGTGCAAGTTGGCTCGTGTAAGTTGGCTCGTGTAAGTTGGCTCGTGCAAGTTGGCTCGTGCAAGTTGGCGGTGCAAGTTGGCTCGTGCAAGTTGGCCCTTTCAGTTGGCTCGGTTAAGTTGGCTCGTGCAAGTTGGTCGTGCAAGTTGGCTCGTGCAAGTTGGCCCGTGCAAGTTGGCTCGTGCAAGTTGGCTGTGCAAGTTGGCTCGTGCAAGTTGGCTCGCGCAAGTTGGCTCGTGTAAGTTGGCTCGTGCAAGTTGGCTGTGCAAGTTGGCTCGTGCAAGTTGGCTCGTGCAAGTTGGCTCGTGCAAGTTGGCTCGTGCAAGTTGGCTCGTGCAAGTTGGCTCGTGCAAGTTGGCTCGTGCAAGTTGGCTGTGCAAGTTGGCTCGTGCAAGTTGGCCCGTGCAATTTGGCTCGTGTAAGTTGGCTCGTGCAAGTTGTCTGTGCAAGTTGGCTCGTGCAAGTTGGCTCGTGTACGTTGGCTGGTGCAAGTTGGCTTTGCAAGTTGGCTGGTGCAAGTTGGCTGGTGCAAGTTGGCTGTGCAAGTTGGCTCGTGCAAGTTGGCTCGTGCAAGTTGGCTCGTGCAAGGTGGCTCGTGCAGGTTTGGCTGTGTGATAAGGCTGGCGATTTTACCGGAAGAGCCCTTCGCAATGCTTTCGGGGGGAGAAAAGAAACGCCCAGCGGCCTGCAAAGAGCTGGAGGAGGCTGAGTCGCTCGTCACGCCTTGAAAAAAAGGCGCGAGAGACCCCCGGAGGCCGCTTTTTCGGATGCAGATCTCTTCGCAAAAGCCACACACACACACAGCACAGACATATGGAAATCACACACGCATGTGCGGGGAAAAAACACTTATATATATATATATAGTTGAGGAGATGCCGTGTTTTTTGCCGACGAGACACGCCGAAACGCGCCGAAAGCGGAACACGCCGAAAGCGGCTGATCTACGGTTGGAGGGGGGCCATCCTTTGTGCACGTCGGTTTCTAACACCAAATGTGCCGTTGAGACGAACATTTTATACATGCTAGTGACCGACACCATTTCCGCAACTTACTATGACTTTAGATCGACTCTTACACGTTGACATCTTGATTGGTCAAGCCGTTGCGCGCTCGACTGTTTGCTTCGTGCGGACCCTCTTTCCTTGATGTCAGCTCCGACCTCAGAGCTGTGTTTGGTGAGTTTGCACGGCATCTGTCACCCTACTAGCAAAAGCTGCGTGAGTGGAAGACGAGTATGGTATCTGAATATATCGAGGATCTACCTTGAGAGGGAAGGTACCCAGAAAAGGGGAAGTGGTACCATACATGAAATTCCATGGATTCCCGAAACATGAGCTTGTCAAGAAGAAGGCCGACCACCAAACAGTTGAAACATGTACTTATCTCAGCTGCGGTGAAAAACAACTGCGAGGAGTGCTGGTAAAGAAAATCCCAAACCATGGCCCACGCAACTTTCAGAGCTTGTTGCAACAGCGCCGCGATACCAAAAGTCAAGCTTGACAGTGCACATTGGTTAAAACTGATTCGCAAAAGGCGCATATGCGACTGAAGAAACATAGAAAACACACAAGCAATCTTGAATGACTTTCGTTGATTGGATCGGACGCCGGGTTGCGGGTTCCTATTCGCAACACTTGTTACAAGCAACTTTGGAACTTTCAGCGAGATTCCAAATTGATGAGCTAAACGATGCATTGCGGCAAATGCTCACTGGCAAGAATGGCCAACGGCCTCCTGCTTGAGATGATCAAATATGGAAATGAATATTTTCACCAATGAATGGCATGCCAGTGACCGGAACATCGGAGTAATCCCGGCGACACACCATTTTCATAGTCAGGCAATTTATCATGAGGGTAAGTGGAGGCAGAAGGGTTGAACTTCTTCCGCAGGGTGTCACACGGGGTGTGGCTTTCAGGGTTCTGGATGGACGGGGTCTGGAAGTGCAAATGATGATGCTGAGAGTGTGCGCACCTGCTGTGTACAGTAACTCCCTTCCCCATTGGTGGAGGAAACTCATTTCATCTGTCTGGGTTGCTATGTGAGTTCGGGTAGCAGGTCACTCGCTCACAATGCCACTCGCAACTTAGTCCAAACAACTCAGACCAAGCCACTTGGAGCATTAAGCCGTCTGAAAATTGCTCCATAGATCTTCATGGATGATAAGATGACCCCTTTGCTTGCTACGCAGCCATGCCAGCGATGCCATATGGGACATGCTCTTAGGCATGCCCTTCGCATCCTTGTAAGCAAGCTCCTTGCTGCATTGTTTGACACGTCTAGGGTAAGATCACTCCTGCGTCTACTTGTCTATCATCTTTGTGGTAAGCAAGGTCTTAGCCATGCACAGAATGTCAGGCATGTACATGTCATCCCCAGCAACAACACCAACTTGGCCAAACTTTCTTGTCGGCCAACATGCTTGCCACATGCTGCCCCCTTGATGGTCACCCTTGAGACATTTGCCAGAGTCGACTGGCAGTCCGCCACATGCCGAATGATCGAGTTCTTCTGCCAAGCCTCCCCAACCGATCACAGCCCTGACAGCTCAGGTAACGCTCTCACTCACGCCATGTCACTTGAATCAGTCGAACCTCGGCCTAGTCTGTGGCTCAGCTCGCCATCCTTCATCCAAACAACGCGATCTTCAACGTGTAGCTTGCCACACCCCCCTCAATCCCTGGATCCATCACGTGAAAACTTGACGGGTGCCTGTAGCAATGCCAAAAGCCCCTGCCGGCTCGTCATCCTCATCAAGCACGTGAGAATAGAAGGAGAATACAAAACCCGGGCCTTGTTCCAAGCAAGGGCTGCAGTGTCTGCATTCCTTCATCATAATCATTGACAAGCTCGCTGACCTTCTCAATAAACACCAGGCCGGGTATGCTGTCCAGCCAAAAGGTGCTGGCTCACGTTGTTCGGAAAGATCATTTGCAAAATATAATTCCTCGATTGCCACCAAGGACATTCTCTACTTCAACCAAGGATGACCTCCCAATCTCACCAAGTTCCCTGGCTGCTTCCTTGAAGCCTCCCGGCAATTCCCATCAAATGCCTAGGGCTCAAATCGAGCACGGGCCTAGCCGTTGAGATCGAAAAGAACACAGGCAAAACATGTCCACGTGGTAAGCACTGACTGCAGGCAAGCGATTGGCAAAAATGGGACCCTGTTTTGGCCACACTTCAAATCCAAGCAGCACTAGCTGACAAACAATGACCATTTTGGAGGGCTGTTTTTCTTCCTGAAGAAGGGGGGTGGCGGGTTGGGTGAGTTTTGGCCATCCTTTGGGACATGAAAAGATCGCCCAATTTCTTCACTTGCAAGAGTTCCCCGCAAGTTCAAGGGTTCTTGGGCCCGGGCTAAGGATGCTGGAGGCAGCAGCGCAGGCAGTCGTCGCCTGAAGTTTCCGTGCAGTGGTTGATTTGCGGGCTTCCCCCCAAATCATGCACCCGTGGTTGGCCCAAACCTCCGCCAGTTGTGGGTCATGGCCCTGACTCTTGAAACATCCTGAAACAGCACGGATCCTTACCATGGCTGTCAAGCCCCCCCCATTCACGGTCCGATGACCGTCTTGACAAACGTCTAGGTGAGCAGAGGTTTGGGCTAATATGTTTGAGCGCAAGCACGTGTGTGATGCGTGTGTGACCGTGTGTGTGTGTGGGCGCGACCAACCCTGGAACCACACGGACGGTTCTGCTGTTTACCATGGTTCTTTGCGTGTCCTGTCAAAAGCCACACCCTAGTTTTGATTAAGAAAAAACAACATTCAAATGTCACGAACTCGATTAGTGGCTGACAGATTCTGCGGGCTCCAGGTTCCCCCAGCTGCATCTGGCATAGGGCTCAATGGTTGCCTGCCCCTCTCACAATCATCAGCGCAGCCGAAAGCATTTGTTTGCAGTGCTGAACCAGACTTGATGGTTGGATACGGCCAGAAACCACTACGGCAATTGACACTAGAAAGGAAGACTCGTTGGACCACAGCTTTGGACCCAGCCAAAAAGTGGTTTGAGCCGGCCCGGCCTTGGCGATCAACTCGTCCACCATGTTCGACGCCTCACCTCACCGTCAATGCCAAGTGCCAATGTCTTGCTTGCCGGGAATGTCTGACCATTCAGCACAACTACCTAGGTCCTCCAGCAGAGAGGTTGGAATAAGGGTACCCTTTGTTGCTGTAGTCTATTTTAGTAATTAGGGGAACCCTCCCCGCAAAAAGGGGTAGACTAATGTACTAACATTGTGGCTCAAACAAACAGTTGGTCCCAGCAAGCAAGACATGAACCGCCACAATCGTGGCCGGACATCGTCAGACATCTTTGGCATTTAGCGGTACATTACGCGAGTTGAATGCACCTAGGCATAGGCTATGCCTTTTACCCCCAGCGTGGTTGATGTAAGTCGGCTTGTCCTCCAATTGAATGAACTCTCCCCGAACGATTTGCCATTGGCTTCCTTAACAGGCCTTGCACAAAGACACAGACGCCTGCGACTTTGTAAAGGTCGCAGCTCACACTCATGGCAATCACTCGACTCAACAAGCCACAGATGATAGGGGATGTCGCCTTCAACACTTGTGGTGGGAAACAACCTGTACTAATAGACGGGCTTGTTAATCCGGGGTCAACATAAAGCATCACGTATCCAACGCGGCCGCCAACTCAGTTCGAGCACTGCAATCACAGAATCCTTGCACAAATCATTCAGCATAAATACCCCTGGAGCGAGGAAGACCATTGAAGTCAACCCACAAATGGTCTGCAAACTGAACATTACCGTGAAGCTAGCCTTGGCAAGAGCTCATAGTCATAGAACAAACATGGGCTCCTTCCCGACAGCTTCCGCGGAAAGGGCACCCCGTTTTGATGTGCCGACGAAACGCCGCACCCCCTCCCCCTGGAAAACACTGACAACTGTATGTCTATAAAATGATGCGCTGATATGAGTCAATCCCTGACCATGTACTATGACTGAATTATGGGAAACTGTTGTACGCCAGCAACGGGCTCGCCAAATTGGGACTCCTTTTCTTGGTTGTTCCGCCACATTGCTCAAGACCCCCCCTCGTTGATTCTAACGGGAACCCCCGCAACAAAACCCCACTCCCCCAATGGGTCGTTGACAAGCCGTTGTTTTTAAGCGGGGGTTGCACCCCCGCCCAAAAGTTGAAACGGGTTCCCCACGTCCTGGGGTCCCACTCCCCGCGATCCGCCCCCGATCCGCTCGCCTGTGATGGTGTCCGCTGCCAGCTTCTCTGCCGCCGTCTGGCGCCACTTCTTGTGCGCCTTCGGGGCATTCGCCCGACTTACCCTCGAAGGGGCCCGAAATGGGGTGATCCCTGGCGAGGTTTGGGGATTTGCCCATGTACCTTGGGAGTTTCGATGGGGGAATGAGAATTGGAACGGCACCATCCAACTGGTGGTTTCCTTCAAGGGAATCCCCTTCGGGTTCATTCCCAACACACAGAAGGTCATTTCCTACTGAGCACCAGCAAGTCTTTGTTTTCTATAGGATTCCTGAAAGAATCCAAACACCTCACAAGGGGATCTCAGCCGGATGTTTTTGAGCTGGCCCACATTAAATGGATTCTAGGGGCGCTGGAGAACCCGGAAGGAAGTCCTAGGTGTCCATTTCGCACCAATGATGGCACTAGAACCAAACTAAACCAAGGGGAAACAAACTACACAACCACCTGCGGCAATAGTAACCTTTTGGACCCCAGATAGAGAGATACTATGAGATATTTGGCCAGCGTTTTGACATATTAACAACGCACCAAGCTCGTTAAATCTAGAAGCGTCTTGTCTTGACCATCTGTGCGATTTTTGGGATGGGGCAAGCCTGCCGCGCCGTGTGAAGGTCGCAAGCCGAGCGACTGCCAAACGGACTATAGTCAAAACTACGTGTTTCCCCAAGGTGGCATGGGAAATTTCGTGTGAGGCCCCAAATGGACCGTCAACTACCATTTGACCGAACCTCGCATGGGTGTTGCTGGTTGGTTGCAGGGAAACAAGGGCAAACCATTTTTGGGGCCAATATTTTTTGGAAAACACCGCTGTGTCCGCTGTGTGCTGCAAATCGCAGGCCAGGCTTTCAACTTTCTTGCCGCTTGGTTACGGAAAGAGCGGGAATCTGCATCACAGGCTCCAAAGCCCGTTTTCGATGCTGGATGCCTTGAAGCGAAGCCTGACCCCATAGCCTTGGGAGCATGACAAGTGGCTGCACCGTTTCACGTGTGCGTGGTTTGATTACACAATGCGAGTACTGCAAGGTGTCTGTGCAACAGTTGTCAAGGCTTGGCCCCCCCCCCCCTGAACAGCCTCCAGCTGCCTGTCGTACCGGTTCTTGGCCTGGCGGTTGTGCTGCAAGGCAATCTGTGCGCCAAGGCCTGCTACCTTCCGAATCCAGTTGTGCATGGCCAAACCTCTGCACGAAGGTTCAAAGGGAGACCGCAGCGATGAGGGATATGTCAATGTGATCACAACAGTGAGGATGCGTTTCAACCATCCAGATTCGAATGTGCTGACACAAACACATAGACGCATGGGCGCATATGGAACACGCTAGCACATCACATGCAAAGGCCGTGCAGGATGTCAGCTGCCTCAGTGACCTTCTGCTTCACGTCGCTATGCGCAACCTGCGCCTTAGCGAAACTGCCCAACTGCGTGGCGAGTTGAAACTGCCCCCAAAAGGCCATGACGTCATTGACATCATATCATACTCAAACATGGGAACTGGAAGGTCTACAGGTCAAATAGAGGCAGGCGAGGAAGTGCCGCAAATTCATAATTGCGCTGCCGGTTGAGGGCTCGAAACTCCAGACAACCAGTCGCCAAGGTGGCTGCAAACCACGGCATACCAAACCAACTGCTACCGTTTAACGTGGGGCTCGGAGCAATCCTTCTCCGGAGCCCAACCTCTCCAACTAGCGAGGCAATGATCCAGACAGGGGGCAAATTCGGGCTGCCGCGCCATCGGCCTCCGGCATTTAATTTGAGCACAACCCGTGACCAATCTACACATTACTTTCTCCGTGAGTTAAAAGCAGTGCGCACAGGTCTACCGGCAGGCGCGGGGAAAAAGAAACACCAATTACTCATCCCAGCCTATGCCTTCTAGAGGGCCCTCCTTTCGCAGCTTCCTACTAACTCGTAATTTGAATTGGTTGAGTGGCTAGGGTTTTTCTCCCTTTTACCCTCCACAAACACCCAGGGCTTCAAACCACCAGCTAAGGCTGGCCTGACCTTCCTCAGCCAAAGCTTGGTCAGCAAGAGCTCCACCTGCCTTTCCTCAGCTCCGAGCGCGTGTGGCCCGCACCTGGCGGCAAGCACAGGCTCCCGACTGGGACAAATTGCACGTCCCTTGCGGCATCCCACGGGGTCCAGGTGGGGATTCATGTCCACCAGCCACTCTTGAGGAGATCCTCTAGTTCCCTATAATAAAAAATCATAGCCACACCAAGCCAGTGTTCATTGCCTCATCTTTGGTGCACTCTTCAGGCTGGAAGGACCCCCCACAGTTGACACCCTCGATGTTGCAAGGGTCACACGGTTTGCCTTATTCCGATCACCCCAGTTCAAGTTCCTGAAGAAACAGCCTTTTTCAACGTTCTCAAAGGGCTTACCACCCTCACGCTTGCTTGGTCCACAAGAAGGATTTTGAGAATTCCCTCCACGGAAAGAAAAGGGTGAACATGTTGACCGGTCGACCTCAGCTCTTGCCCCCAACATCCCCCAACCAAGATCGACACGCGACACTCGAAGCGCGAAATGCCACCCGCAGATCTTGGAGCTTCTGCTTCAGATCCGTGAGAGCAGCCGTACCGCCTGAGCCGAAACGGACATTCGCATCTCGAGGGGAATGGTCCTCTCTCTGTTGGGTTCCACGGGTTGGATAAAAGAAACACGACACGTTAGGGCCATCTGGTTTCCACCAAACTGGTGGGTACCGGTAGTTCCCTAAAAAGGTGCAAGGAAAAGAACAAGAGTTGACCATTTTCCGTGGATGCATCAATGTGGATGCCACCAAACTGGGATAAGGGAAGCCACATGCAAAGCGCAATTCGCGGCTTTACGTGAAACACGAACTGACCATAAATGACCAGTGAAAACACGATGCGACGCGGCGAAAACCACCGCATATTAACATTCGTTCTTGAAAATCAAGGATTTCTGAAACACTGTGTCTACCTTCGAGCGGTTTACTGCAGGATTTGACGCCAAGGTAACACCCACAGCAGGCGAATAGTTTGTGAGGCTCAGTTCATGGCAAGCGCGGCTACAAGCCATCTTCACTCGCATGTTAAAAGCTACAATGGCTATCCTTGTTTCACTCCTTACCTCACCTAGCAGCCCAACACGGCTTGCATTCATCTTGCGTGTTTCTCAACATGGTCTCCTTTTGACTGGCCTGTAGAACAAACCAAAAAACGATACCCTTCGAAAAAACGACGAGCCACCCAAATGCCGAGTCAAGACTGGATGCCTCTCCCCCTTTGAGGCCCGGAGAATCGGCCAAGCGGCGCGTGCTGCGCAGCTCGTCGTGCTTCTGCTTCAGGTACGAGGCCGTGGAGGTAACCTCGGCAACCGATCACCGCCCAGTTCCAAAATAAGACCTCAGAAACCAACAAACTGAGTGGAAACTAGATTGAAAGCGCCGAGAAACTGCAATGATGAATCCACTTGTTGCTTCCTTCATCTTCGAAGATGTGATTTTTTTCCAAATGGCGGACCCCAACAACGGGTGGTTTTGGACGCTCAGAATCGAGACCCAACCGCGGGCCGTGGGTCGGGGTTTCATCCTAAAAACAGATTTCCTGATGGGGTGTTGCTTCGGATCTTGGCTTCCCCTTGGCCTTCACAAGAACCTGGGTGGTAACAGGCGGACCCCGACGAAAAGAAACACACAAGCACACAAACACACAAACACGACCACGCGACCACAGAAACACGCAAACACAAACACACAAACACACAAACACAGAAGCACACAAGCACACACAAACACACACACACACACAAACACACAAAACAAAACACACAAACACAAGCACACAAAAACACAAACACAGAAGCACACAAGCACACACAAACACACACACACACACACAAACACAAAAAACAAAACACACAAACACAAGCACACAAAAACACAAACACAGAAGCACACAAACACACAAACACACAAACGCACAAACACACAAACAAACAAACACACAAACACACAAACACGCAAACACGCAAACACGCAACCACGCAAACTTGCAAACACGCAAACACGCAAACACACAAACACACAAACACACAAATACACAAGCACACAAACACACAAACACACAAACATACAAACGCACAAACACACAAGCACAAACACACACACACACAAACTCACAAACAAAAATTCACACGCACACAAGCACACAAAGACACACACACAAAAATGCAAGCACATAACCACACAAACACACAAGCACGCAAGCACACAAACACACGACCACACAACACACATTAATAAACAGACAACCACAAACACACAAACACACAAACACGCAAACACACAAGAACACAAACACACAAACCCAAACACACACACACAAACACACAAACACACACACACACAAGCACACACACACACACAAACACACAAAACAAAACACACAAACACAAGCACACAAAAACACAAACACAGAAGCACACAAGCACACACAAACACACACACACACACACACAAACACACAAACAAAGAAACAAAACCGCGCAAACACAAACACACACACACACACAAACACACGAGCACACACACACACAAGCACGCACACACACACACAAACACGCACACACACACAATCACACACACTCAGACACACAGACACAAACAAACACACACACAAGCACACACACACACACAAACACAAACAAACCAACACAAACACACAAACACACAAACACACAAATACACAAGCACGCAAACACACAAACAAGGACAACCACACACACAGACACAGACAAACAGACACAGACACACACACACACACAGACACGCACACCAGACACACACACACACACGCAGACACACACACACACACACACACACAAAGACACACACACACACACAGACACGCACGCACGCACGCAAGCATGCACGCACGCACCCAGCCACCCACTCACCCACCCACCCACATCCATCTATGAACGCACGCACGCACGCACGCACGCGCGCGCGCGCACAGACGCACGCACGCGCACACACACACACACACAGTTAGGAGCTAGGGTTACGTCTTGGCATATTGTGTAACAACACAGCCAGGCTTCTATTGCGAAATTCATGGGCCATTTCACACCCCGGCCATTCCAACCTGCTTGAGGCGCCAGCTGCCTCATGAGATTCGGCCAGGGCTGCTTCTGCAGCTCGGACCTTTCCGATTGCGAGCGCAGGACGTGCCTTTGCACGCAATTTACTGTAACCATATTTAAACAGCCTTTGCGGGGACCAGAGTCTCCAGGAAAGCCCCTTACCCTCCCGTCCACGAACAGAGAACGAGTCCTGGAAGACTATGTTCCTTTAAACGGGACCCGCTGGTGGGTTCTGTATGGCAACGTCTCAATGAGGTGGGCAGTGCCCTCCCAAGGAAGGTGGCAAGACATGTTCTTCGGTTGGAAAGTAGACTTCACGAAGTTGTCGGTGTATGGAAATCCACTGGACAAGGACGGTTGGTTGAGCTTCGCGTCTGGCCATGGACCACTGTCAGCATGGCTTAACCACGAGGCGGGTAGTTGGCCCACCCTTGCCATAGGTGTCCTGTTTAGGTTAGTTTGGTAAGAAATCGATGGCACTGGTTTTGATGGGTTTTCTCCCATTTGCCACAACCATTCAATTTTGCAGAAGGTCAGCTGCTTTCTGCAGGGAAACGCATTTATGTGTTGGGAAGGGCACTGATAGGTCACATGACTTTCGAACAATATCTTGTCGGAGCATCCGGCTTGATGCCGCGCGCCAAATGACCCGCATAAACCCGGCATCATCACTTCAGTTGGAGTCGTGTTGGAGGTCGGAATTGCGCTTGTACTAGCGCGTTTTGTGTCGTGGACATGTGCAAACAGCCAGTGTTAGCTTTGGTTTTCTGCGATTGCGCCAACTGCGGTCGCTCTTGGGTCACTACTCCACGACGTCGTAAAAGGAGCACCATGCGGGTGGCTCGTCTTTTTGTGAGGCTCGGTTTCCCCCATTTATTCTGATCAAATCAGCACTGCTTTCAGCAGACGTGTGTGTGTGTGTTTGTTTCTGCCAGGGTACCCACAAATTGGACAAAGTTGGTCTGGCCTTTTTGAGGGTATACCGGTATACCCCAAGAATAGTGTTTCTCCTTTCCAAAACAGCGACGGAGCCAGTGGGAAACCGCCGGTCAATCTCTTTCCGAGGCCCGTGGCACAGGCCATGAAGGGTGTGTACACCTCTCAAGGTGGGCTCGGGAAATCGAGCGAAAACGACCCTAAAGTCCTCCAAATCAAAGAACTGGCCCAAATGGGGGTGGCCTTTTTTGAGGACACTTGTGTTTTTCTTTGCTTCAAGGGGAAACCAACAGGAAAACTACAATTTTGGAGGCCCCCCTTTAAAAAGCCACACCCATGTATACTACAGTCACCCCTTTTTAGTGAGGGTCACTTTTGGAGCCCCCTTTAATAGGACGGGTTTAGCAATCCCGGGTGAACATTAGAGGAAATCATTTAGCGGCATCTTACTGCTATCCAGAGCTAAGGGCACCTCCGACTAGTTGATCTTTTAATGCCCCCTTCAGAACAGAAATCCGCAAAGATCGCTGGTCTTGACACCTGGCAACGACTAATTGAAGGGTGAAGCAGCCAACCGTCTCTTTCAGAATCCTTCTGAAAGCCCTGGGTCCTTTGAAACGACTATGCACCTTGCCTCATCTTCCCAGTTCTAAGTAGAATACCTGCGATAAAGGAAATGAACATGCTATCCCTCCCAAGGACCAACTGTTCCAAAACTGGCACAGGACCCACTATGCAACATAGCGGGCATCCTCATGCTCGCGCAGATTCAAACATCAAATGGTCTGCCGCAAGTCGAACAACGAAAGCAAAGGACCAAGGAGGACTCGCCTGAAGCACGATGTTTAGAGGAACCTACAGTTGGGGAATGGACCCTTTTTGAGCTCTGTGTCAATTTGCAGGGCAATAAGAAGCAGCAAATTGTGCGAGTTTCGAGTCCGCTCTTCCGCATGCAGAGCCCGCCTCCAGGTACGTAGTGCCTCCAGACCCGGCCACTGTGACAAAGCCTCACGCGAGCGCTGCATCATATGGGCGTGTCTCAAAAGGCTGGATCCCCCCCACCCAAAAACAAAAAGAGGGCGGTTCCTTTGGGTTCCCTAAAAAAACAAAAGAAGCAACCAAAGAGGGTACCCTCAAAATAGAAAGCCATGTTTCATCGCGGGATCCGTGTTTGCGAAACACCACAAGGAAAACCACCAAACTTCGGGGTCTACCCCCCCCAAAAAAAAGAAAGAAAGAACAAGAAAGCATATACAAGGACCAGGACCTGCTCCCTTACACCTTGCTGGGCTCGCTGCCCTGGGCTCCATCCTGCAAAGCCTTGCACTCTACCTGAGCTTCCGGCAGCTCGAGCCGAGCGCATGGAAGACTCCTCTTGAAAAGGCGGCCCGCCGGTCCACGGCCACCCTCCGCCGTGTTTGGTGGCCTATGGCAAAAGGGGCTGGGCCAAATTCCTGAAACTGGGCTTGTGGCTCATCCATGGCCTGCTTTGTGCTTGGAAGGTCGGGGCCCGGCGACCCTTGTCAGGTTGCGAAGGAAAGTCTCAGGCATTCCTCTCCTGGGAGGCCTATTTGGGATGGCCTCACCCAAACGGCCCTACGGATCCCCAATTTCTCTTCGGGCACCGGGCACCCGTTGCTGAAACCGGGCTGTGCAATGGTTGACATCAACTTTACCTCTCACAAGTCTCCAAATCATATTGCCTAAAGTGCATACACAACCGCATCCAAAGCCAATGAAATGTTCAAAGGGCAGTTCAATCTGAATCCTGACTTTGCATTGCGCTTGCGTATTGAAACCTTTCCATGCTGGATGCTGAGTTCTGATCAAGCGATCTGCTCTCTATCAGTCAGCTGAGACAAGGACAACACCTGGAAGCGACATGGAAGCACACATGCAAGGCTTGGGGGGTTTGAAAAGCAAGCTGTGCCTAATTTACATGGCCAGTCTGGCTCCGAAACCAACAGCCAATCTGTTCAGATGGAGGGGCAAAGAGGGCACCAGAAGAGAGTGTCGATGTAGAGCTGGCGCAAATCCGAAATCCCCACCTCCAGTTCGCACGGGCATGTTTATAGTTTGGCATTCGCACTATGACATATGAGAGCACTTGGCCAGAAACAGGCCTCCAATTCTTGGTTTCCAGCACAAATGCAGAATGCGCTTGAATTCCAGCCACGTCCCAACACGAACAACAAGCTAGCGGCCTGGCCCTCACAATCCTTGAAAACACCAACAACTGGCCCAAAATGGTGGGCTTTCTTCTTGGCCTCCTTGTACATCAACACAACATGCGGCACCCTTTGAACACATCCCGTGTCCAAAAACCCACCCCTCATGAAAAGCCCTTCTGTAAGAAAAACACACACTCCCCAACACACACACACACACACACACACGCGCAAAAGAAATGGAGGTGCCATTCTTGGGCCCGCACCCTTAGGAGGCCACTCTGCGGTTCCCGTGTGGCTTCGCTCATGGCTTCTAAGACCTGATGGAAACCGCGCGTGGAGCACCACTCCACCGCAGGACCCATCTGGGCTATTTCTAGAATACCCCTTTTTTCGTGGCTTTCAAAGGGAAACCAAAAGGAACACCGAAATCCATTTTGATCATAGTGGGGGTTCCCTTAAAAAAGACACACCAATGTGAAGGCTTCGACTTTTGCCTCGTGGGAAACCTTTGCTTTTCCAAGGCAAACTCGAAGTCCTGGAGAGTTTGGGGCATGGTGCCTGTGGATGTCAAGAAGGCTCAAGGAGGCAAATGTGGACCACATTTACGCAATGCTGATTCCCCCTAGCCTCGCAACACCAAGAGGAACATCACAAGCCGATACCCTGGCAACAGTCCGCTGCTCACATTGTGATTTTGACATGGTTCCTTCAAGGCCGAGTTCCAAAGTGGGTGGGCCGGCTTGCCATCACACGTTGCTACCCTCTTTTCTTTGGAACGCCCATTTTCTGGTTCGTGGATTCAAAAGCCCAATTTCACACCTCCAAAAAACAAATATATGCTTCAGGCGCTGGACCGAAGATCGAAGTTGCGCAAGGGGGGCGGTCCATCAGCGATTAAACATTGGCCAACAAGCGTTCAACTAAGCATTATCATGTTTTTGAAAGGAACTTGATGGGTGACATTACACACCCCACCCCGGAACGCGACGCTGTTATCATTTGCCACCACGCGCGCCCGCTCATCCAGCCTCGCTCACCTCCAACTTTCGCACGGTCTTCGTGTTGACCTGCCAGCGAGCCGCTCAGTTGCTTCTCCTTGGGAAAAATGGTTGACCGACTGACTGACTGCGTGCCTGCCTGCCTAGCAAGTTGGGGCTGGGACTGGCTGGCCGAACTGGCCTCTATTCTTGAAATGTACCGAACAAGGGGGAAACCAGGAAAGTCCTTGTTTGTATCTCTGGGAAAGGGGCTGCCCAACTTTTGTTCAAATCTAGCGAACATCTTGTCCAGAGCGTGTCTGCAGAAAATTTGGGCTCTACATCATCCAGGCTTGAGTAGGCAGGTCCAAGAGGATGCTCCTGCTACCGTTTGGATTCACCGCCCAATGTCTCCGGATGAAAGGAACATGCCGGCCGGCCGAAAGCACGCAAACCACATGTCAACAGGAGCGGCACAAACGCCGAGGGGCCAAGCCGCAAGCTCCTTCGGCACCTATTCAGTGAATTCCTCGCTTGCTCTGCCTTACCGCTTTGCTTTTTCCCACGCACGCGTGAAACAAATTAAATAAACCAAACCGAAAACATCTTCTTAATTCTTGGGACCCCTGTTTAGTCAGTCTGTTTCTTTTTTTCCGGGGCCAGCGAATAGAAACCACCGATTTCGGGCGAGTCCTAGATCTCGCACAGTCTCCCTGGCCTCCTTCTCAGTGGTCATCGTCACAACTGCAACCTGTGGAATCAGTTGGGCCAATTCGTCCTTTGATTGCAATTGAAATGAAGCTGTTAATTGCAATTATTCTGTTGATTGCACTACTTCACTAATCATTTGATTGCACATATTCTTCTTTTGATGGCAATTTATGTGCTTCATCAACGCAAGATTTGCCCAGCCCGGGTTGGAACTTCTGAACCTATGAGCCAAGGCCCAAAGTGCTTGTCACTGTCACATTCCTTTTCTGTCCGCGATGTACAATTTCAGCACTCACCAGAACATACTTAGGCAAAGGATGCTAGTGAAATTGTGGGTCAACTCATCAGCAATGCTTTTTGGCAGAGGCACCCCACAACTTGCATTGGCTAGGACAGGGAGCTGGATCCATCCAGTATATATATATATATATATGTATATCACTTAAGTACTGTTAAACCACACCGAATCCACAACCGCTCCTTGCGTGCGCTTAGTAGGTTCGTGTCTTCCCTCGGCGTCGGAACTCGTATGCAAATGCACGCGAGTTCAATCCGATCACATCAATTCCCCTGCGGCCAACGTACACAGCCCCTGATGGACGCGCCCCACCTGTTGGCCTTCTTTTGGGAGGGATTTTGGGGTAAGTATGCCCATTTGGGCCCCGCGAGTTGGCGTGCAAAGACTTCAACAGCCGAGGCGGCTGCGCAAAGGTAGCGAACCTTCATGTGGTCCAAGAACCTCTGCGCCAGACCCTTCCCAAGGGTGGAAAGCCGTGCTCTCTTCTCCTTGGGAAAATTGCTCAGGAAAACCCAGAGACCCAAAACATGTGAGGATGCAACTGCCCATTTCCCCAAGGCTGAGTTGCAGACCCTAGTCATGGTTTCAAAAGAGGCATCCTTTTCTGGTGGATATTTAACTCAGTTGCCCAAGGGAACCAAAAAATACAAGGTTCGCCTTTTGGGGCCACACCTAAAAAATGCACCCAAACGGGGGGACACCAGAAAGGTCAGCTCCGGTCGATTCGCTTTGGCCCGGAGTTCTGCACGGATCTGAGGCATTGGCTTCTCTTCAGAGATCCCGCCGTCCTGAATGGGTGGAGCCCACAGGACTGTGCGACGAGATCTAGGGCCAAATGGGCCAGGATTTTTTTGTCTTGGAGTTCAGCAAAGCTAAATCTTGGCTTGGTACAGTAGTATTTCTTAGTTGCTTGAATGCGTTAGCGTTATTGTTAGGTTGGTGGGTTTGGCTGGTCAAGAGCCCCTCCAAAAACAAAACAAAACATCCTCAGCAAACCAGCGCTGTTGATCTGGTCATGACGGCACTCTGACAAAGAGAGGGTTGGCATCAACTGTGCCTGTCTATGATTCTCGTGAGATGCATCCACATACATCATACTTGAGTCGAGTAACTTGGCTTCGCCCTGTGTTGACATCACTTTGTCGCCTCCTGCTTTGTCGCCTCTTCGTCCATGCGCGCTGCAGCTGCAAGGAGGACGCGTTCATCCTCGCGCAAAAATACATGCCAGTCCCTCAACCCCGCTTGACGAACGCCTTGATGTGGACCGCGCTTTCATCCATGGTGGATCTGTCTCGAGGGTGTTTCCCCACGAAAGTTAAAAATGGGACACCCCTCCTGAATCGACAAATAGCAACATGGGCATATTTACCTGGGTTTCCATTAAGTTGCCTAGAGCTTCCCAGTGCCGCACAAGGGCGCCAGAAATGACCTCGTTGACTTGGACTTGCTTCTGTAACGCGCGCAAGTTGTGCCAAGCAATGGTCAAGACGTTGTTTCGAGTCGGAAAAACACAAAATGCAGATCGAACTTCTCCCAACCTCCTCGGTGGTGCCAAAGAGGTCTGTCAGGTCCTTGGCCAACGCGGAATCGAAGGGCCCTGCCATTCCTCTAGTTGATCAATCAGTCAAGAGGAGTCCAAAGGCTCGGTCTCCGGGCGGTTCGAACGGATACCTCCCTCAAAGCCAAAGTGAGGCAGCAACGAACACCAAATACTTTCGAACGACCAAACCAGGCTAGTCTTCACATCGTTCAAGGAGGCATGGCCTCATCGCTAGTGCTTGTTGTTTCAAAACCCGGCGCCATCTCAAGGTATCACCGTTGCGACGGCCGAAGCTCTTCAAGTCCGTATGCTGTGTTGTTGCGGTTGAGTGCGCTACAGCACAAAATTGGCTCTCCGGGCAATTGTGCAAAGGTTGCCCCCCGCTCGGCTCGCTGAATGGCTAAATCTGGGAGCAAAGCTTCCCTCCGTATGACGGAAGGTGGCAGAGATGTGTGACATGGGTTTGTGGGTTTGTCGAAGTAACTCCCTTCTTTGCCCTAGTGGGAGTGGAGTTGGCGTGGAGTAGTGGGATTGGAGTCGCATTCCGCATTCGCATTAGATGGCAAATGGCTACCCTGCGCAACCAAGTCATCACCACAGCGCAAATGCCATGGCAAAGATCTTGACAATTGGGGCTTTCCTTCAACAGAAACATCCCTATAAAGGACCATTTGAAACCTGTCTGCATCGACTGACTGCAGAAGAAGGGTACGGCTTGCATCCACCTTTCAGCGTATGAAAGGCGCACTTTCAGCGCTCCTTCCGGGCAACAGGTGTTGTGGGTCGCAAAAAATCGGGGCTCCTTTTTGGCATTTGTGTTCAAAGGGCGGATGCCAAAGACGGCGATTTTGTTGACAAACCTTTGGGGTGAAGAACGTCCTCCTGCACATCTCCTGGGCCACCTCGCCGGCTCCGGCCGGAGTTCCTTCAAGGCCCCGATGATGCCTGGCGAAGGTCAAGCTTTGGCTCGTCAACAAAAATGAGGAGTGATTCTATTCGAACCCTTCAAAAACCAAGAAGCTGGTTGATTACTAGGGGAGGATGCTTTTACTGGTGCGTCAGGAGGGTGCGGCCTACAAAAAGTCCTCTTCCGACTCCTTGGGGCGTCACATGGTCGCATTGTTTCAGGGTCCAGAGCCGGCGATCGTCAAACCACCTTTGCTCCCGATGACACACGTGCCACCAACAGGGCCGCTCAGCGTCTGCAATTCGAGCCTTTCCGCGACGCGGCGCGAAGCGCGCAGGTTGCGGACAAACGGCCCCCCAAAACAGCCGAGGCCCAGAGCCGAAACTTGCAAACAAACAACAGAAGGCCCGTATCAAGGCCGAGCAGGTTTTGAGCCCTCGCTGAAAGGAAACTCCCGGGAGAGAACGCCTATGAAACCAACACGGGCTCAAAAGGCAATGTGCAGGATTGACAAGATGGCGACACGCATCACATTGGGCATAGTGAAATGAGTCGCCAAAATATTGACCGCCGCCACCGTGGCATAGAACTATATAAATATAACTCTCGATCCCTGCAGAGTTGGACGCGCATCTGATGTCCACTGGCCGGCAGGCGGCACTGACCTTTGCCGTTGTGGCATTGCCCTACCTTACGGGCGCAACAGTTCCGGGCACAAGACAAAACCAACAGCAACTTATCACCTTGCCACGCTTCCAAGGATGGGGTCGCGTCGCTGTTCCGGGTGTCTTGGCTTTCCGCCCGGGCAAAAACCGCCGCAAGCAACAAACCCAGAAGCGACTCCGACAGCCTTTGGGCATCAGGAGCTCCCCTCCGGAGGCCTTGGCCTCAGTTTTGCTTGGCCGGAGCTCAGCAAACCGGTGCAAAGAGACTCGGGCGGGTGGGGCTGCTTCTTGGTTACTGTTTGCTTCTTGTTCCTTGTGACGAAATTATCCAGGCCCCTGCCACAACCACAATGTAGAGGTGCCTGGGGAACCTCCGTCTGAAGCCCTTCAAAACCTAAACAAGCACCGACTGCCTTACTTCGCGGTTCCCGCCCCTTGGCGTAAAGCCGGCGCAAGGTGGCGTCGGACATGTCGATGTGGGCATGACTCAAAGTAAGGGCACCCAACACTTGCCGGGTTTTCCTTTCAAGGCGTCCCCCCCCAAAAAAAACCCTCACTTGCTGGTTTTCCTTTGAAGGTGTGCCCAAAAGAAAGCCAAGGTCCACCCCCTTGTGCCGTAGCGTCACCCGGGCCACGGACGAGTTCTGCCCATAGGGCGCCAGGTGTCTTGGAGGCTGCGGAGGCGTGCTTCCGCAGCCTAGGCTTCGCGGGCGAAAAAGAAAGGGGTTGTTCTGGTGGGTTTGTTTTGGGTGGGTTTATGGCGGGTTTGGTTTATGGTGGGAACAAGGGCTGGGCAATGGTGGGTTTGGGGTTGGTTGATGGTGGGTTTAGGGCTGGGAGAACGCAGGCAAGCCTGCCTTTTTGGACAGCACTTGTGGTTTTGGTGGTCCGACGTTTTTGGAGCTGGTACTCTTTTTTGGTTTTGTTCTAGTTTCCTCATTTGCACAAATGGCCAACATTTTGAAGACCTCGTGATGTGCGACACATGCATCGAACAGGGGAGAAGAGACCAACAACCCGCGAACAATCGAATCGTAGAATCTGTACTACTCTATTCGAATGAAAGTGAACAACGATTTGCACCAGGAATCTGAAGGGCCGCGTGTTCCGGATCAACGTCATTATGCTTCACAAAGGGGCTTGGGAGCTCCGAACGAGATTCAAACCCTTGGAAGGTCCCATGTGGGCCACCCTCCATCGCAGACCATGACGCCAGGGTACCAGTGATTGATTGATTTCAAAAGGGAGCTGCCAACCAGCAAAAGGCTGGGCACATCGGGGACACAACGGACGGGGCTACAAACCACCTTTACAAGATTCGCTACTTCAGCCGAGCGACTCTACAAACCTCCCATGAATCCCTATGTCGTATTAGGTTGCTTAGGATGTAGAGGTTTTTTTTGAGCTGCTCAGCGGGTATTGGGGCGATTTCGGCTTCACTGACAGGTAATTATCCAACTAGGTCCTGCAGTAGAGAGATTAGAATAAGGGTACCTCTTTTTCTGTAGTCTTTTTTAATCCCAACCAAAAAAGACACGGTAAAAGGGCACCTAGCAGGGGGACCTAGGCGCTCGCACGCTCTTGCTGTGGCGCCGGCACTTCCAGCAGCTGCCCCAAACGCAGCAGCGGCTGCAGCTCCTGCGGATTGCTGAGCGCCGAGTTGGGCAAGTCCAAAATCGAGCGCGCCACCAGTTGCTGGGATGGTAGGGTGCACATCTTTGGATGGATTGTTCAACCAACATGTAGTTGATTGGCGGAAAAATCCACAAACCGTGCCAGTTGGGAGACTGGCGGTTTATCCCAATTCTAGGGTTCTACTCAGCTCAGTTTAGGTGTGCCCATCAACGGCAAACACCCAACCCTGCGCTTTGTTTGGAGGAAATGCAAAGGGGTGGGGAAGAGTCAGAAGTTGGAGGCTATGATCTTAGGCAAAACACGCTAAAAGTCGTAGCTCTGTCAAATGTGCTGTGCCCAGGGTACAATAAGAAAGGTAGTCCTGACAGATTCCTGCAAAGCATGAGTGGATAGGAAGGTGGACATGAAGGTGCACAAGATTTCACTTATGTTTGGGATGCAACATGTGCAAGAGGCCGGATTTTGCCATCAAGATTCACAAAGCTCAACTGACTATTCAAAGTGGCGAGGGAGATCCTGAAAGCTCATTGTCAACCCTTGGAATGCACCTTCCCGCCTCCCTTTGCGAATACGTTCCCTGGGAAAAAGAAGAAACAAACACAATTTCCAGTTGTAGATCCCTCAGACCAATCCGCGAATGATGCAGTTGTGCGGTGGGGTGGGGGTCAGACTTCGTCTCAGGAGGGCGCGCCGCGGGTCCCATCCCCCAATTCCTCGCCCTTGGCGATTAAAGGCGCCGCGGCGGCGTTCAGGTTCTCCAACCTGCGATTCACAATGCGATGGCCCATGTGCGCACTGGAAAAGAGGGTATTGTGGTTGGTGGGGTAACAAAAGCCAGTGTGGAACAAGAATAGCAACTAGCCATGCCTGGTGTGGTTTCCGTCCGGGATATGAAACATATGAGGGCCAAAGGCTTGTTAACAACGCTCGGGAAAGAGCATGCCTCTTGGTCAAGAGAAAGTTTAAAGGCGCGGGCTACTGCTCCATAATCGAGACCCTTGGAGATGCAAAGTCCTGCGAGTCTTTTAGCAAGCCTCCTGCGTCAACTTGGTGGCCTTCTGAGATGCTGATGAATGATCAATTCCCAAGCTCGCCAATAGGAACAACCATGCGCCTACCCCAATCGCTAAGGAGTCCAAGGAAAACCGGCCCAAATCCAATCCGCACCCGAACCAACGCACATGCACGCAAGAAATACATTGAGGCCGCTGCGTCTTGTCCAGGTTGCTGAACATCTCCGTGGCCTCCTGCGTCCTGGCATGCGTCAGGTCCAAAAGGCTCCACGGTGAGGGAGGAGACCTTTGGAAAGGGAAGTGGCAAAAGGTTCGGCCAATTGAAGGTCGAACGGCTTGACTGCCAGAGTAGATGTGGGGAAGCGGAGGACGAGTGGGGGCTTGCCCTTGGGTTTTAGGGGGCCGTGAGTTGGAGAGTACAGAAAAAGAAGTGGGCGGAAACTCCGAGCCCCAGAGGTGCTTCACTAGCCCGCAAGCCCAGTGGATCTTGTTGTGTCCAAGAACGTGAAGATAAACAACCAATGCATTCTACGCACGTGGCGTTAAGAGAAGCAGGAAGTCCTGCTTGACAATAGAGCACCAAAGAACATTTGTATTTTGCCGCTTTGTTTTCACCTCCTCTTTTGGCGCTAAACGTGAGGCAAACCACAAGCCGGGCGAAGCTCAAACAGTGCCGGTGGGGCAAGCACGCCGCCACGAACTTGTGCTCTTTGTCATTGGCTTCTCGCCTGGGCGGGCGTGAGCTTGCGGGCCACAGAAGAGAATCAGAACAAACATGGTTTAGCCAAGTAAATTATGGTTTGTTTTGCGTCAATCAAAAAACTCCAAAAAGGAGCCAGCAGGGAAAGTGCGGCAAGCTCTTCTTTCGCCGGAAAAGACTGAAAGGTACAAACAGGCTTGAAGCAGGGCAGGATTGGGAAGGAACTTGAAGATGCCAAGATTCATCCAGCGAGAACAAAGCAAAACATCTCCACAAACAGGCTTGGAGCAGGGCGGGATTGGGGAGGAAACTTGAAGATGCCACGATTCATCCAACGAGAACAGAACAAAACATCTTCAGGTTCAAGTTTGTAAGTCATGACATTTAGAGGGAGGAGCTACCTTCTCGATAATTGAGAAGCCAATGAGAAATCGCGTACGAGACTACACAAACTGTTCAATGGTTGAAGGTCTTATTAATGTGTATTACGAAATGACTTGCTTACCAATTTTATTAGCAATTATAAGTACCACGTGTACTACTAATACGTACACCCCGACCCCGCACAGAATTGTATCACGCTATACATTATCTCCTTTTTGTGGGGTTGGGGTTGGGCACCCAACCGCAACAAAGCCACAATGCAAGACTACAAATTTGTCAGCAGAGAAATTCAGAGGAAAGATGCGTGCGCAAACTCGAGAATTTGGAAACCACCAAAAAGCGCTCATGAGACCTGCGGGCTAAAACGTGGCGCGAAAGCCAAATTTCATGAGGGCTTCCACTCACTCACTCACCCACTCACTCACAGCCAGCCAACCAACAAATCTCAACCACCCACTCACTCACCCACTCATTTCTCATTTTTCGCCCTTGGACGGATTTTTCTCGATTTGGCCTTCCCTTGCTCTTTGTGACCTCATGTTTTCTCCTTGCGCTTTTTCTCACTTTGACCTTTCTCTTGTGCTTTTTTGACGTCACGTTTGTTCTCCTTGGGCGTGTTCTTCTCTCACTTCGACCTTCTCTTGCGCTGCTTAATCTGACTTTTGTTCTCGGCTTATTTCGCACTTGATCTGTTCTGCGTGGTGTTTGCCTGAAATGGCAAAGAGAACCCCAGAAGCCAGCCAATCCCGTCAAAAAATGCCCTGCGGCCAAACTGACCTTGAGCGTCCAAACCTGTCGAAGAACACGCTACGCTTGTTCTACTTGCTCACACGTGCCCGAGTTGCAAAGGAGCCCTCCGCGTCAACTTGCTCAAAAAAGAAGCTTGCTGGCCGCTCCTTATCTGAAATAAGGCGCCCCTAACGACTCTGTCATGGTTGCAACAACCTCGAACTGGCAGCCGAAACATTTGCAAGGCTTGTATTGCTCACTGTCCACTGACAGCGCGCGCAAATAGGCTGGGCTAGTTTCCACGCAAAGCGTCAAACCAAACGAGCCTCGGACAGGCCAACGTCTTCCTGTTTTTGAACGCCTGAGCTCTTCAGCACCCTGAGCCCACCCTGCCAGGTGACCTGCTCATACGCGGCCTGCCGCTCCTCCTGATTCCTGGCTTTCGAAGCCTCCTTCTAAGCTTTCTTCTTGGCCTTCTTTTCCTCCGCCGCTTCCGCCGGCGCGTTGTTTCTTTTGTGCTTGCAGCTTAGCTTCTTTCTCCCTTCCGCTACCTCCCGCCCCCTTCTTCCCAAGCCCCTTGCAGCGCGGTTCATGCTATACTGCCTGACGCGCTCTGCGTGCTTGGTGTCACAGCTGGCCCAGGGGTACCTTGGTTGGTCCTTCACCGTCGCCTGGCATTTGCCCAGCCACACAGCGGCGCGACTTGAGCGTGCCGCCTAGCAGTAATTAGCAGGGATGGGACGCACTGCTGCATGGGGTCAGCGCAGCATGTAGCAGCTCAGAAAAATACATACGTGACATTTGAACAACAAGGGTGCTGTGCGCAACCCGGTGATGTGGTAGTCATTGACGACCTGTTCCTGATTGTCAATCCGAGCCACATTGACTTTGCTATACCCTGATTCCCGCATGAAGGGTCCCGTCCCTCCTTCGATAGCACCATCCATCCAGTATTGCATTTCATTGAGGGTTGGCCAACCTCTCCGCGTCGAGACACCGTTCAGCTACCAAGGGGACAGTCTTATTCATCCAGGCGCTGCTTTTCTCTTTGGCCGATGCTCTTCCTTTTCTGGCCGCGGCGGCGCAGGCAGATGCCGTGGACAGCTGCTGTCCTTTCAGGGCGGAAACTGGCACTCGTGAATGGCTAAGAACAACACGGTGGTTCATAGCATTCGGACAAAGCGTCCGCCCTTGGGCTGCTAGCACCAAGCGTCTTGAGCCAAAATGGCTACGGATTGCCAAAAAAAACAACAATTGCTAGTTTCCTCTTTTAACAACCAACCAAAACGCGGTTCCCAAAAAATGGCACACCCATTCTTATGATTAGAACGGCGTTCGTTCTGGTCAGTTCCCCTTGCCCACTCCCATCTGGGGAACTGCACCGCTGCTCGTCCAGCTTCGACTGCAGCTGTGCTAGCTTGGTGAACATTTCCTGCGCAGCGACCCCCTGCAAAAAGTTATCTAGGGACAAGGGACAATTGTGGAAAACAATTAAGACAAAACAGCTCAAAGCTAGTTCAAGTGATTCGTTCAAAGCGAGCAGGGATTCTGAGCCACTCCCTCTTCCACATGGAGGCCACGGCCCAGCCGAAAAGAGATGTTGAGGTAAAGGGAAACCAATCAAGTTTGGGGCCTCAACAATCTGGGCCACACGTGTAAAAACAAGAAACAGCAGTGCGGCAGGTCCTTTTGCAAGCCTCATAGTCTCCCCCGGGAGCACACATCTTCAGAAACACCTCATGTGGGTATGGGTCAAAACTGAACCACCAGGGCACCGCAAATTTTAGTCGTTGTTTCCATTTGCCAGGCTTACATTTTGAGCAATTACCTTTTGTCACACCCATGTTGGACGCCTGCTGGTTGCTTGCGGTTGCAGCCTTTCGCATTCGATTCCCCGACCTTTCAAGATTTGGTTGCGCCGCTCGTTCACAGAACGCTGTACTTGCTGTTGCTCCGTAGGGATTGTGGGAATGAACCCAGGGATTCCCTTAAAGGACAGCCATTTGCAAGGGTCATTCTCATTCTCTGCTGAGAAACAGCAAATTTACATCATTTCGCTTATGCACTTTACTATGTCCCAGTGAGCCACAGCCAGAAGCCAACTCAAGCACTCGGGCCTGAAACTCTTTGAGGACCTCTGAGGTGTCGGTGGTGACCTGGACACGAGTGCCATAGCCCCACAGTGAAGAACGCAAACCCAACACAAAGACACACCCTCGTGCAAACACAGGAGGCTATCTGCTTGTTGTTTGTTTTGCCCAGGTGCGGTGTGATTTTTCGCCCTTGTCCCAAAAGACACACATACTAAGGGTGGGTATGAGTTATATCTAAGTTTGGAACGGTATTAAGTGTGAGATGCGCCTTCGGGTTGAGTTTGGGTGGGCTCGTGGTTCTTTCACGTTGCTTTTCTTTGCCCAGGGCCGATCCATGGTTTGGAAAATCACGCGTTCCCTTAGAAGTCAGACAAGCTTGAGGTGTTTTATGGGATAAAAAGCCAAAGTCCCACGACAAAGAGGGTGATGGTCAAGTTTGTCACTTGTCTGACCGGTCAACGGTTCAATGCACTCAGGCCCCGACTCCATCAGCTTTCGCTTTCTGCAGCCTGATAGGCGTCTTGTGACTTCACCCCCGGCAGCAATATCACCAGTTGCTGGGGTACACCACTTTATCCGGGAACGAGTCAACGCGCGGAAAGGGGGCAACGCTTTCTTTGGGCTCACAAATGGCGCCAACCCCGCCATCCTTGCCAGTCCCCGCTTTTAATTCAATGCAATCTGCCGAAGCCGCTTTCTGGAGAAAGACCCCGGAGCTCAGCTCGAAATGATCAAAGTCGGAAGCATCGTGCACCATTCCAAGACGCCGATTTGCAAATCCAAAGGACTCAAGGACCTCGAAATTCAGAGGCGAACCCTTTGCCTTGACCAAATATGTCCTATGGTTTAACCCTTCGTGATCTTGACTACATACTCAATACGGTTTAACCCTTTGGACCTTGACTAAATATCCAAACGGTAAAGCCAAAAGATCAAAAGGTCCGAACCGGACGATTCAGTTCGGGCAACTGAGACACAACCAGATCCTCAGCAGTACTTCTTGGGAGCTGGAACAAACCTGGATTCATGTTGACCCCGGATCTAAGGATAAAACTGTCCGAGTCCTATTGGATAGGGGTGTCACGATTAACTCCCACTGAAATGGGACAGGTTACAGGATTCCGGGTTGCCAGTACTCTACAATAACCTGGTGCCAAGCTGATCTGGTTCCCCATTCCATCGAGTCGGGGCATGCCTCGTGTCCACAAAAAGTCGCATGAATCAACCAGGGGTCGAATCAACCAGGGGTCAATTGAATTGTTGAACCAGGAGTTGTCAAGCAGGTTCTCTGCTCTCATCTCTTTGGTTCAGAGTGTTTTTTTTTCCAGCTACCTTCAGCCAACATAGGCTGCACTGCACAGGCGTAGACCCAGCACTCGCCCGGCTTTGAGCCTCTCCATCAACGGCACCCAGCCTCTCCATCAACGGCACACGCGCGGCTTGGATCGCAGCCGTTGCCTGGCCGCCACACAAAATCAAATGCCCCCCACCTCTACCGATTCTACCTCAGCTCTTGCCCAGGCTTCTCATCCATACTTAGTGAACCTTTTTGGGGGTTACTTTCCTGCGCTAAAGGTCGAATTCACCTTTAGGCATAATGAACAAGTCAGTTGTTTTTCCCACAAGGTTTACGGGGCCAGGGTTACATCAAAGCCATGAAAAGAGGTCCCAAAATGAGAGGCTCTGAGGCCCCAAGTTTGGTCCAACTCCTTTGGCCCGGGCAAACCTTCTCCGACCGAGCAGATTGAGCCTCAGATTGGGCAGCAGCAGCCTTCTGCAGCACCGTCTGCATCTCCAGGGGATCTGCATCCTGTTCGGGACTGGGCTGCTCTTTTCCGAACACGTCCATCACCTTTGTAGGGCATAGGTTCAATATCAAGCAACTGCACTTCAAAACGGCACCTTGGTAAATGGAACAAGGACTGAAACCTGAACCCTCTCCGTCCTCCGGAAGGTCGATGAGCGCCTGAAAGGCTTCTTTGGATGCTTCCACCTGGCGAGAGAAGCCGGATGCCATAGAGGCGCACATGTTTAAGCTGGTAAGGCTATTTGAGTAGATGTGATCAAATGAAGTCGTGAAAATTTCAGCTTTAAGGTCTTCCAACTGGGTGCCCCCATTTCTCCGTAAACCGTTCCCGCACGCCAGTTTCAAGGAGCAGCCAAACTCGCTGAGCCAAGGGAAAGACGCAACAAGATCACAGTCCTCCCCGTGTTCGCCAGTTTTCACAGACCTCCTGGCTTGTCCAAAAACTTGTCTTTATATATAGGAGAACCGCCTAAGTAGGTGTCCCTGCGGTTTCCCTCTACCGACCCATTGGGGCAGTTCAGTCAGCCCATGCTTGCGACAAATCAGCTTTGGTATAATACCAACATCAGCCAAATTTGCAGGAGACTGCCCTGGCCACAGAAATCGGCCACTCACTTACCCAGCTTTCCACCTGGGCTACTGCTCTAAAGACGATCATGGCTTTCCGAACACTGTCATTCTGAGAATCTCCTTCTATGTGAATTTGCAACCAGATGGTTCAACCGGGTGGATCAAGGCTTGCCCCCAAAAAAGTCAGGGATTCCCACATGGGACATACCCATCAACCTCAGGGGTTAATTATTCTGAGCCACCTGTAAATCCCAAGTTGGGACTAAGCGACCCCCTCTTTCCTTTCATCCATTTCGCTCATGATTTCCCCTCCACGAAGCGTTTGTTGTTGTTTGTTTCCGCCCGAACTCTCCTCTCAGATGAGTGAGGATAGCTTTGCAGCAAGTCAAGAACAACATGGCCAATGCTGTCCGGATCGATCCCGCCAACGGGCGCGTTTTGTCTCATACACATGAGCGATGCCAGCATGACAATTATGCGAGGCAATACATGCAGTGTTCGAAGCGCTCTGGATTCCAAGGCAGCGCGTCGCTGCTCGGTTGCTTTCTTAACGTTGAGTGGTTTAATTGGACACCCATTACGCCCATTATAGTTGGCCAAAAGTCAAAGTCCTAACATCCCTTGGCAAAATGCACCAAAGGCTGAGAGCAGCGGCCCGCCTTTGCTTCGGCCTGCGTGATGCTCTGGGCCATCGCCTCGAGCTGCAGGCGACTTCGGCAACAAACACATGAAAGTGCTTGTTGGCCCACTGCAGCCACCTACATGAATGTGTCTGCTTTTAGGGGAGCAACAGAAAGGGGTACCCAAAGAAAGACCCATGTAAGTCTTGCCCCTCAACGGTTCAAAGTCAATCACGATAACATGTTATTGACAATTGCTCTCCGCCAGCTCTGTGCTTGAAACGCCGCCACGTCTCCAAGCAAGATCTCACGCTCGGCTTTTTGCCTTGATCTAGCAGACTGGGTATCTGTATCTGCGAAAAGTCTGCACATGCTACCGGAACTTCCTACGGACCTACTGACCTACCAAGATGGCTCGAAGCGCTTATGATAATTTCAGATGCAGAGTAAATACATCGATGTTTTAAAAAATTCAAGGCTCCCCTGTCTCCGCGCTCTTGTGGCTGTTGATGAAGTCCATATACCTCTCACACCTCAAAGCGTTGCTTTGAAGCGTTGCGGAAGCCAAGGCAAACAAGTCAAAGGCCCATCTTTTGAGGTGCTGAATGGGTGGGGCTGACTCATTGTCAAAAACCAGATGCTGTTTGAAGTTGACAACCAACGAACCAACCAAACAACCAAACAAACCAACCATAAACAAACAAGCAAGCAAGCAAGCAAGCAAGCAAGCAAACAAAACAAAACAAACAAACAAACTAATCAACACTCAAACAAAGCAAACCAACAATGTACAAACAAACCAACCGACCAACCAAACTAACACACAAACAGACACCAAAAAGCAACATCCCACCAGCCAACCAAACAACCAACTAACCAACCGACCGACCAACAAACAACCAACCAACCAGCCAGCCAGCCAGCCAGCCAGCCAACCAGCCAGCCAGCCAGCCAGCCAACCAGCAATCCACCAAACAACAAAACAAACAAACACGCAAGAAACACAAACAAACACACAACAAGCACAGACCAACAAAAACCACCAACCAACCAGACAATCAAATCAATAACCAAACAAACAAACAAACAAACAAACAAACAAGCAAACAACTCTAACAACTCTAACAACCGTAAACATACAAACTTTACAAGAAACCACTCAAGCCACCAACCAACCAACCAACCAACCAACCAACCAAGCAAGCAAGCAAGCAAGCAAGCAAGCAACCAACACAACGTCCAAACGACCAACCAACCAACCCAACCCACAGAACGATCGACCGACCAACCAATCAACAAAGCTAGCCAACCAACCAACAAACCAACCAACCAACCAACCAAGCAAGCAACCAAGCAAGCAAGCAAGCAACCAAGCAAGCAAGCAACCAAGCAATCTAGCAACCAACTACCCAACCAAGCAACCAAGCACCAAGCAAGCAAGCACGCAAGCACGCAAGCACGCAAGCACGCAAGCACGCAAGCACGCAAGCACGCAAGCACGCAAGCAAGCAAGCAAGCAAGCAAGCAAGCAAGCAAGCAACCAACCAAGCAAGCAAGCAAGCAACCAACCAACGCGAGTCACTGCTGCGGGTCTTCCAGCAGCGCGTCCAAGTGCGCCATGGTTTGGATGTCCGAGTCCATGGCCACCTCGCTCTTCGGGCTGTAGAAGAGCCTTGCTCTGGCGAGTGGGGGAGATCTGGGCATAGGGAATGAGAAATGGAAGGAGCCCAGGCTTTGGTTACGCTAGGGAATGAGAAATGGAAGGAACCCATTGGTTAAAGGGCACCACATGGCACCACCAGTTGGATGGTTTATAAACTGCTAAGCACCAGCAAGTAGTCAAGGGCTGTTCGACTTCCTACTTGGCGCCAAGGGCTCGAAGTTGGGCTCTTTTTTGGAAAGTCCGCTCTCAGTGGCCTCAATGGCATCTTTGGACCTTAACACAGGACACGAACAACATGAAAAGTTCCGAACATCGGCAAACAAGGAGCATACCTATCCCAACTGTTGATCCTAACCGCATGTTAAGTGTGCTTCACTTCACTTTGAAATGCAACATCTTGTCAACAGAGATCCTAGCTCAAAGAACCCTTCCAGGATCCCAACAAGTGTTAAAGCTTTGATTTCAAGGGGCGTGGTCTTTGATCTAAAGGGAAGCCTTCGGGCTGATCAGCTCTAGTAAACCACGAAATCGGGCTCCGCTTCGAATCCAGGCAAAATTATCTGCGTGCCTGGAATTTCACAACTGCCAGCCCTCTTGTGGTTTGACGGAAAGGTTGAACAAAATGGGCTATCTAGCACCGAGATATCAAACATTTACAGCTGGACCTGAGTCCCCACATTGAAGTTTGACAAACAAAAGTTACTCCCCCGTCCACTATCATGGAACCTGACTGAGGGGGTCCTGGAATGATTCTTTGAAAGGGACCCTCTCTTGGGTTCCATGGTGGACAGGGTAAAATTAGAACTCTGGATGAAACGAGAACACAAAAGCTCGAAATTGCCGGCTTCAAAGCGAGGAGCATGTGTCTGGGAGCCACTTTGAAGCTTCGACCTGGCATGGTCAACTGACCGGCCACCCTGCAAACAGAAGGTGGAACGTGTTTTTAATGGGGGGTGTTCCCCTGAAAAGGTGAAGAACCCTTGCCAAAAAGGGGGTTCACCCCGCTATAAACCCACCAGCGGTGTCTTAGTCCGAGAATCCCACTACCCAGAATCAAGTATTCCCGACCGAATTGTATCGATGCTGCGCAAAGTTCTGATGCCATGGGGCTTCCGCCAGGCTGTGCAAAGGTTACGGACTGGCATGTCAGGTTCAGGCTAGCAAGAAACTGGACATCAAAAGCTCAGCTTTTGGAACCTTCAATAAACATGGACCTGGAGAATTCCCAAAGGTCAAATGTCAACTTGGTGTTGAGTCAGTCATGTGAATCTGTAGGGGGCATGACCCCCAACCCCAAAACCATGTACTACGCCACGCGCTTCGCAGATCGCGTCTTGAGGCTGGAGTTTCCAAGCACCGTCTCCAATGTCGCAAAGGAGGCCCACGCAAGGAGAGTATCACCTTACGCACCGCTTCACCGCTGATGGCCCCTCTTTTCTGCGCTTCTGTGAACATAAAACCTGACAAGGGTTTCCATTACAAGGAAGCTATCCGATGTTGAGGCGGAAAAAAAACTACATTCCACGTGCCTGGTCTTCACCTTTCAAGCTGAGCAAAAGCAACTTCCCAAACGAGGCCGTTCAAAATGGATAATTTACATTAACTCCTACTCCGGAAAAACAAAAAAAACAAAAACAAAACAAAAAAAAAAAGAAAAAACAGCCTTTCGTAGTATCAAGGGGAAGGATGAAGGATCGTCAGCTCAGGCAACAAAAAACAAAAAAAACTCCCAGCTCCCGTCCAGACTATGAAGTTCAACCCCAAGAATTCTGCCTGCGAAAGCAGTGGAGCAATGCATCGGCGAGATGAGTTCTTTGGCCAACATAGAATATGAGGCCCTTGTGTGCGTTTTAAGGGCAACCCCCACGCCAAGGGCAAGCCTTCACCAGAGCCAGCCTTCCAAACAAAGCCTTAACTTGATGGCTATTGCCCAGCCAAAAGCTCCCGTCGCGCCTCGCTGCACCAGCCAATGCGACAGTGCATGGTCCACTTGCCCTGGGACAGGAAATGCCTCCTCCAGTAACCGGACGGCGGCCTTCTTTCGGACGACCCAGGCGTATAAGCCGTACAAAGGACTGTACCTAAGGCCGCCGATTTGCGGAAGGGGTTTGATGGGTGTTGGTAGGTTTGTTGGGTTTTGGAGGTTTGGTGGGTTGGGGAGTTTTGGGGGCTTGGTGGGTATTGGGGACGGGCGGGAGGGGCAAGTTTGGGCTTCTTGTTTCGGTGAACCAATAAGAACCCAGAAAAAGAAAGCCAGGTCAAAAAGGGGGCGGCCAAACGACAAAAGGAAAAAACAGTATGCCACTCAACTAGGATGCATACGTAGGACGGGCACCTCATTTACATCGTCCTCTACGGAACCCTCAAAATCCCGCATGCCCCTCATCTCGTCGATTTGTAGCTCGAACTGAGCCTCAGTTGCCCAGCTGGACCGACATTTTTGTGTCAGGCTACCCATTTTGGGACCACTATGGACCCCTAACACTGGCCAAAATTGGAAGCCACGGAAGCCACAAAGGAAAAACCAAACGTCAAAAGCCAAAATTCAATCACCATCGGCGCTAAGGAGCACGAGCGTGCTCCTGCTCCGTGTCTTTGCCTCCGGGACCTGTACCCCGCAGCACGCCGCCGTGGTATCCCAGGAACAGGGCATCCCAGTTCCTTGGTCACTCACTTACGTTGGGTGTGAGTTTGCATAGGGGATCCTGTGTACACCAAGTAGTTGGCCCTTTGAGTGCAACCTTGCCATGTTTCAACAACGCCAGGAACTGTGTCGCTTCCGCTTCAAGCAAAACGCGCGCCACTGGAGGTCTGGCATCTTCAACCCTTTCAGAATATGAGTTCAACAGTTGTTGGGCCAATGAGTGGTACATCACATGCTCAGATGCCAAGGTTCACTGATTCCCACAATGTTGGGGATACCCCGATTTTCAATCAAATCCAATTGGCGGTTTCGCTGCATTGGTGCTTTGGGGAGTTCAATGCTTGTTCTACCTCCAAACCACTGATCCGAATTACCGATCCAAACCACTAATGAGTCTCACTAAGAGGTCATATGGAAAATTGGACCATAGTTTGAATTCCAGGGTTCGAAATGCGCCAAATTCCCTATGCAGCGCTTTCAGTTCGTGGCCTTTGGCCCAGGTTCGGGGGCAAGGTCTCTATGATGCGCGCGATCACCGCGTCCACGTTGGGCACCAAGGTCTGGATGTCATCCTCTAGGATCAGGCCCCATTCCGCTGTCGGGTGCTCTGCGATGGTCTTCAGCGCCTGTGTGATGTTGGTTTTCCGTACGCCTCCCTCGAACTATGGATGGAACCTGCCAGTAAGTAAGCGGCACTTCAAGATGTTGTGCGCAAATGCGTGAGACCTGTCCTGAAGGTCTGATTTCATGTTGGCTCCTTTGAAGACA